CAAAATACACGATTCGCTTTGCAAATGGACGAGTCGACTGATGTCGCTGGTTTGGCTATCCTGCTGGTTATTGTGAGATATCCATATAAAAGTTCTTTTGAAGAAGACATGCTTATGTGTTCATCGCTGCTTACAAACACTACCGGGGAAGAAATTTTTAATAAAATAAATATATTTTTTGAAGAACATAATCTCAGTTGGAACAATTGCATTGACATTTGTACAGATGGGGCCAAGGCGATGACAGGTAAAACAGCAGGAGCAGTGTCACGAATGAAAAATAAAGCGCCTAATTGTAGTTCCAGTCATTGTATTCTGCATAGACAAGCACTTGCGATGAAGCAAATGCCGTCTAATCTAAAATTAGTTATGGATGAAGCGGTAAAAATAATTAATTTTATCAAATCACGACCACTACAATCCCGATTGTTCTCATTATTGTGTGAAGATTATGGCAGCAAACATAAAACACTGCTGCTCCATACAGAAGTGCGATGGCTGTCTCGGGGAAAAACTTTAACAAGGCTATTTGAACTTAGAGCCGAGTTACAAATGTTTCTTTCAGCAGATACTTCTTTTAATTTGAAGGACCGTTTGTATGATAAAACTTGGTTGTTCCGATTGTCTTTTATGGCGGATATCTTTCAAAAACTTAACGAATTAAATTTATCATTGCAAGGTAAACAGACAACAGTGTTTCAGGCCTATAATAAAATAACTACTTTTAAAAGAAAATTAGATTTTTGGATCATTTGCATTGGTAAGAAAGAAATAGAAAGTTTTACGTTACTCACTGAGTTTGTTAGCGAAAACGACTCAGAAATGTTTGAAGATAATGTGTTTGAAGAATTGGTCCAATATCTCAGTTCGATGCGCGCATCTTTTGAAAAGTATTTTCCCGAAGAACACAATACAAAAATTAAAGTGAACTCCTGGATTCATAATCCTTTTTTACCCAACTTGGAAAAGCCTGAAAACATGTCAAATGAGATATATGAATCTCTTTTAGAAATGTCATCAGACACAAGTATGGAGTCATTGTTCAAAACGACGCCTCTTAATGATTTTTGGTGCAGAATCCAAGATGAATATGCAATGCTTGGCCAAATGGCTCTGGATATTCTTCTCCCGTTCCCAACTACATATTTGTGCGAAACAGGATTCTCTACCTACGCAGCCACGAAAACAAAATATCGCAATAGACTGGACGCCGAAGCTGATATGAGACTCCAACTTTCTTCCATCAAACCTGATATCAAGCAATTGATGAAAAATAAAAAACAGTTTCATACCTCCCACTAGTTAGATTTTTTCTTTTTTAATGTTTTCTATTATTGTCCTTACCAAGTGGTGAAGTAAATAATAATTAGTAACGGATACATTGTACTTTTATTATGCTGATTAATATAGAATACACTTATAAAAATAATTGTTTTATTGTAGGGTTCCATCAAGTATTTTGCTTCCCAAAAGGGTTCCGTCATTTAAAAAGTTTGAGAACCACTGTCTATAATATAAAAAGGAATCGCTGAATGTGTTGCTAAGCCCAAATCTCGAGAACAGCTGAACCGATTTCGATAATTCTTTTTTTTGAATATTCCTTGAAGTACGCGGAGGGTTCTTACGCAGAGAAAAATTAAAAAAAATGCCTATAAAAGTCCAAAAACAACAATTTTCTATACTCCCATACAAACGATTCGTAATAATACTAAAAAGTCAATTTGAACTTTAATACCATACCATAAATTTCAAATGTTAGTGGAGAGGTTCCGGGAAGGCAAAACAATCGAGTGACGTGATGTCAATAGAAGTTTGGAAAAGGCAAATATACCATTTTCAGATTTTTTTATAATTATATGAAGGGGCATTTTTGTCTACACTACAGCTCTATACCGAAGCGAAGCGAGGGCGGGCCACTACACCAATTAGCACACACCAATTAGCATAGCAAAGGACTGTAGGCTTGTGTTATGGAATACTAGGGTAACGGAAATAATACATGTACCGGTACATATATAAGTATATTTAAATAGAAAATACATATTAATCATCCATGACTGGAGTACAAATGCTCGTATTCATCACACAAACTTCTGCCCTCACTCTGCCACTGAGGTCGTCAATTACCTGGATGAAGACATAGGATACTTTTATATCCCGAAAAAATGTGAGTTAACGCGGACAACCGCTGCTAGTTACTTGGCGCGATTAGACTTGGAGCTCTATTTTTGAATCACTCGTCTGACATAGTATCGTGGAATGCGACATAAGTCACCTTCGACTTTCAAGTCGCATAATACTGATTTTCCGTATTTTTGAATCATTCGTCACCGGTGTTACCTGTTTAATACGAAATATAAAATTTTACTCAGTTCACACAGAAAAAAATATAAACCGGTAAATACCGCAATGAAAACCGAACAAAAATTCTCGTTGTCGTTTCATATAAAGCATGACAATAATAGATTATTGTCGTCTAATAGCACAAAAAAATTGACAATTATTCTATCATTAATCTACACCATTCGCCATGCAGCGAGTGGTCTCACCCATTCGTTGCACTCGAGCGATTCAAAAATACAGAATTAATTATGTCGAATGAAATTTAGTAGAAATCGAGCGTTCGACGCAAGACGAGTGATTCAAAAATAGACCTCTTGGTCGTTAGCCTGAATAAGATTGCCAATGGAATTCGGGTAAACAACTAAGTGTAAATGAACGAAGTCTAGTTCTTCCGTATTCGTGTAGATTTCCTTTTGTTTATCCGACACCGTCTTCCAGCCCGTATTCTAGTGTAAATATTGCTTCGGGTGCCCGAATACGAGTGACGTCTTTCGGGTGCCCGAATACGAGTGACGTCTTTCGGGTGCCCGAATACTGGCTAATGATCAAATGTAATTGTCGCATTTGATAAGGGAACGAGGCAAATGCCACTATGGTGCGCAAGCGCATGTGACGTCTCGCTCTAATTACTGAGCCTCGTAATGGCGTAAAAGAGTCGATAATACGACCCAGTTCCTTTGCTTACCTACTAGGAGGCCGTCCATTAATCACGTTAGATTTTTTTTTGGCGTTTTTTAACCCCCCTCCCCCTTGGTGATATATGGTGAGGTTTAAGACTAACCACCCCCCCATCCCATATCACGTGTATTTTAAGTAAATTTGAATTTTTATAATTTTAATTTTTTAAGCATGTAATTGCTTGATGTTTTAATTTAAAGCGTCTTCCACGCGGACCAGGCAGCAGACGGGACCCGCACCCTTCGCAATCCGGACGAATGCGCTGACCAATTATTAGGCCTAGGGCCGTGGTAGCATCATTGGTCAGTGCATTCGCCCGGATTGCGAAGGGTGCGGGTTCGAGTCCCGTCTGATGTCTGGTCCGCGTGGAATATTATATGAACATGAACATTATTTAATGTACAGTATCCTTGGACCACGGAAATACACGTGATATATTACTACACCCCCCCTCCCCCCCCCCGAGACCCTTAATATTTTAGAAAGCTCTCAACTTGCTGAATTCATCCTTACATATTGTGGGTACGCCTATATAAATTGTCAAATTGGTAAACTTTATGGCGATAGTTATTCTCTATCAATCCCACTGCCTACTTGGTTTGAATCTACTTGGTTCACAATAAATTATTTATTGAAAAACTCGACTGGCCTCCGTTCCTTTGTTGCCCCGAGGCCTCTGGACCTCTAAATCCGGCCCTGATCAATCCTATATTTTATGACAGCGAAAATGGAGCCTGTAGCTATAGACAAATCAACGAATGTTACAAATATAAAAACAAACTTATGACTTTAGGCGTTGTTTAAACTAAAGCATTAACTATGCCTAGCAGAATAGACACCCAGGAAACTCACCATCAGAAACACAACATCACCAATACATATTTAATTACGTAAGTGTATGTTTGTCTAATTATTAAGAATGTGATGGAACATCACATCAATGCATTTTTTAAGTTTTCAAGTCATCTTTCAATTGACGACACTGTTTGAAATAAAACAGAGAGAAAAACATAGCTCTGGCTGAGTTTCTTGCCGGTTCTTCTCATTAAAAGATGGTCTCCCGCCCGCCGTAGATTTACCAACCGATGGCATAGAGTTGACGTTCACAAGAGCTTGTAACAGCCTAGACTGAATAAATAATTTAGAGTTAGAATATGCATTGTTATATAATGTGCTCTCCTGTAAAGCGTTGGTTATTTCCCTAGACTGGAAAGTCCGATCCGAGCGCTGAGTATGAAGATAAAAATAAAACTTCATAATTATAACATAATGTTTTATTTATACAACAATGAAACTGTTCATAAACACCGTCACATTTGAGGATCGGTTGGTACAATACAATGACACCACGACCTGCCTGCTACTCAAAGTTCCTGGGTTTGAATTAGGGTTACCAACTTTTTTTCTATAAAACATAGTATTTTCTAAGCTTTTACCTCTAAAAATATAGTCGAAGACAAAAAACTGGAAAAAATATAGTATGTGTTTAAAATATTTACTTTATTTTTAAAATTAGTATATTTTTGCTGCTCTATGCTTTAATAATTCAGTTTTTATTTTAAGAAAGCGTTTATAGGCAAGAGTCTGCTTTAAGTAAAATATAGTAGTTTCGCCTGCTATACATATATATATTTTTTTAGGAATATAGTATTTGATCCCCTAATATTATATAGTAGGGTTGGCAACCCTAGTTCGAATACTGGTAGGAAGTTTTTTATCTAAAAGGGTAGAGTTGCAGAAACTCTAAGAGACTCTAACTCTAAAGAAGAGAGAAGTGGAGTGATTCAGGCAACAGGGTGTGTTGTCGGAATCACTCCAGCCAGCCCAAATCATTCAGGAATGCCCCCAGTGCCTTCACATTGGTGATTGCCTCTTGGAGATTTCCCAGTGAGCCGAGGTATTCCGCCCTGTATTCGGCTACTCCGTTGCATTCCAGCAGAAAGATACTTTAAAACTTAATGCTCTTTTTTCATCAATAGGCGTATACCAGTTCAGGGAGTTCGGCCAGTACAGTATCAACGTGTCCGAAGTGACGAAGGATTCCTGCCTGCCCCGGATGACGGCCGAGCCGGACGCCGCCGCGCTGCCTATTCTGACCGCCGTGGTCACCCTTCTGTCCATGGCCACGCTCTGGTACATCATCAAGGGGATCGGCAAGAGAATAGTGGCTGGCAGGTTGTACGCGAGGTATATGGCGAGGTGAGTTAACATCCCACAGCCTACCTAATATTATAAAATAGCGGGTGGTTTCAGATCGTATATAGCAGATGTATCAACTAGTAAATTGTCACGTCACCTCATCAAGATGGTCAGCGAGAGGATAGTGGCTGGCAGGTTGTACGCACGGTATAATATGGCGAGGTGAGATTATTATTATTTCTTAATTAGGGGCTATGCGGCAGTCCCATTGGACCTGTAGTCACTGCGATCTAAAAGACCTATTGGGACTCGCTACCAATTTAAAGTATCTCTTTTAGTTAACGATATTAAATACCATAGATACACAACGTGCGCTGAAAATGTGTCCCAATCAAGAAGTGAACACTTCTCAAACACTTCTTGTTTCACAGTCACGTGTGGACCGATGAAAAGTCAAGATGCCGCAGACCTTCGTGAAAAAATACCTTATAAACTAGAGGGTGGTTTAAGGTCGTAGCAGATATCAACTCTGAAAGGGGTCGTCTCGTCACCGTATCAATTTAAGGTGGTAGCGTATATCATCTCTGAAAGGGCTCGTTTCGTCACCGTATCAATTTAAGGTCGTAGCAGATATCAACTCGGAGAGGACTCGTTTCGTCACCGTATCAATTTAAGGTCGTAGCAGATATCAACTCGGAGAGGACTCGTTTCGTCACCGTATCAATTTAAGGTCGTAGCAGATATCAACTCGGAGAGGACTCGTTTCGTCACCGTATCAATTTAAGGTCGTAGCAGATATCAACTCTGAAAGGGCTCGTTTCGTCACCGTATCAATTTAAGGTCGTAGCAGATATCAACTCGGAGAGGACTCGTTTCGTCACCGTATCAATTTAAAGTCGTAGCAAATATCAACTCAGAAAGGGCTCGTTTCGTCACCGTATCAATTTAAAGTCGTAGCAGATATCAACTCGGAGAGGACTCGTTTCGTCACCGTATCAATTTAAAGTCGTAGCAAATATCAACTCTGAAAGGGCTCGTTTCGTTACCGTATCAATTTAAAGTCGTAGCAGATATCAACTCGGAGAGGACTCGTTTCGTCACCGTATCAATTTAAAGTCGTAGCAAATATCAACTCTGAAAGGGCTCGTTTCGTCACCGTATCAATTTAAAGTCGTAGCAAATATCAACTCTGAAAGGGCTCGTTTCGTCACCGTATCAATTCAAGGTCGTAGCAGATATCAACTCGGAAAGGGCTCGTTTCGTTACCGTATCAATTTAAAGTCGTAGCAGATATCAACTCGGAGAGGACTCGTTTAGTCACCGTATCAATTTAAAGTCGTAGCAAATATCAACTCTGAAAGGGCTCGTTTCGTCACCGTATCAATTCAAGGTCGTAGCAGATATCAACTCGGAAAGGGCTCGTTTCGTCACCGTATCAATTTAAAGTCGTAGCAGATATCAACTCGGAGAGGACTCGTTTAGTCACCGTATCAATTTAAAGTCGTAGCAAATATCAACTCTGAAAGGGCTCGTTTCGTCACCGTATCAATTTAAAGTCGTAGCAGATATCAACTCGGAGAGGACTCGTTTCGTCACCGTATCAATTTAAAGTCGTAGCAAATATCAACTCTGAAAGGGCTCGTTTCGTCACCGTATCAATTTAAAGTCGTAGCAAATATCAACTCTGAAAGGGCTCGTTTCGTCACCGTATCAATTCAAGGTCGTAGCAGATATCAACTCGGAAAGGGCTCGTTTCGTTACCGTATCAATTTAAAGTCGTAGCAGATATCAACTCGGAGAGGACTCGTTTAGTTACCGTATCAATTTAAAGTCGTAGCAAATATCAACTCTGAAAGGGCTCGTTTCGTCACCGTATCAATTCAAGGTCGTAGCAGATATCAACTCGGAAAGGGCTCGTTTCGTTACCGTATCAATTTAAAGTCGTAGCAGATATCAACTCGGAGAGGACTCGTTTAGTCACCGTATCAATTTAAAGTCGTAGCAAATATCAACTCTGAAAGGGCTCGTTTCGTCACCGTATCAATTCAAGGTCGTAGCAGATATCAACTCGGAAAGGACTCGTTTCGTCACCGTATCAATTTAAAGTCGTAGCAGATATCAACTCGGAGAGGACTCGTTTCGTCACCGTATCAATTTAAAGTCGTAGCAAATATCAACTCTGAAAGGGCTCGTTTCGTCACCGTATCAATTTAAGGTCGTAGCGTATATCAACTCTGAAAGGGCTCGTTTCGTCACCGTATCAATTCAAGGTCGTAGCAGATATCAACTCGGAAAGGGCTCGTTTCGTCACCGTATCAATTTAAAGTCGTAGCAGATATCAACTCGGAGAGGACTCGTTTCGTCACCGTATCAATTTAAAGTCGTAGCAAATATCAACTCTGAAAGGGCTCGTTTCGTCACCGTATCAATTTAAGGTCGTAGCGTATATCAACTCTGAAAGTAGCATAATATCAACTCACGCCTTTCAGTGTTCTTTGTATGAAATTCGCTACTCCAACGCACAATTATCAGTATCGTCACGTAGTCGCCTTGCCTTGGGACAAGCTCGTGTTTCTTTATGGGGCGATTACTTTACGATTCCGATATTCTTTAGGCGCGTTATGAAGAAATGATGAGAGTGAAATTTTAAGATGCTCGCGTATCACTGTAACACAAAAGTAACACCATGAAGTTGGCCGCTAAACCGCATATTAAGAAAAGCTACCAACAAAATAGAAAAAGAATATATATTAGCCGCGCATGTTGGCACGCTCGTCGCCTCTGAACACTGTTTTCATATTTATAGTATTTATCATTATGTTTCTAGTTTCTATATTCACAACACGTGTTTTAGTTTCATACAAGTGACAATTACATATGTGCTAATAAATTATATTCAGTAGTGATTTAAATTGATTTTTTTGATTATTTATTTAATTTTTCAAATTAAAACTGAATTTTATTGACTGTGTTGACTATCCTTTTCCAGTCCCTTTATATTTTTTTTCTTATTAATTATTTGCATGCAATTAAAAACTAATTTTTAACGATGCCAAAGAAGTATAACTTCTCACGTGCGTACATAAGTACACGCACCCATTTTTTTATGCTGAAACTTTGGCAAAAAAGTATATAGTGCCACCCTCCTGATGGTAATCGGCCACATAGCTTATAGACTTTTGCCTACCCTGACTCAATCTCCTACACCATGGAGCTCTGGAACCATACTGACAAAAACAACACAACCAAAAGGCAATGTTATTTTATTTTATTGTAGTCTTTTGCGTGCACTTTTAACTTATAAGGTGCCCGACGGCGCAAGTGGTTAGCGCGTTTGGCTGCAACTTCGTAGCGGTCGGTCATTGGATGGGATACCAAAAAAATTACTTTCACGAGCTCCTTCGTGCTTCGGAAAGCGCGTTAAGCAGTTGGACCCGGCTGCATTAGCAGTCGTTAGCCACCAATAGTGCCCGCGTGGTAGGTCATGACTAGGATTGCCACCCGTACTTTATTATAAATTATTGTACGTTATTTCGGGTAATTGTACTCTATACTTTATGCCAACAATAAAGTACACGAAAATACTTTATTTAATGTGATTTGATTACTTGGTGATTAATTTTACATAAAATGTACAAAAAGAGTACAAAAATATTGTTTGCGTATAACAGAACCACAGAATGTATAATATGTCACCCTTAACTCATTCCTGCAACATTGTCGCGGCTGTATGGCTTTGTACAATGGCCTTTCCGATTGCGATAAGAACTACAGATTTTTAGTAGCCACAAATTATTCATTAAAAGTTGCTATACGCAACGTAAAATATATTTTTAAGCTTACTAATAAAGTGGAATAAAAAGTACTTTATTTTGGACACAATCTACTTTTATTTCTACCTTTAATCTCCAATGTACTTTATTTGGACATAAAAAAGGTGGCAACCCTAGTCATGGCCCAATCTCCCTTTTCTATACATTGGGAAGGCCTGTGCCCCAACAGCGGAGATATTGATTGGCTGATGATGATATCTTGTCGTAGGGAGGACAATGAACTCGGCTCGGAGACGCGAGTGTTGACAGCAGAAGCCAACGTGCCCCGTTCTCCTACTCGTTCGAGGCTTCGTTCATTGGACATCTTCAGAGGATTCTGCATCGCGCTTATGGTAACTATTAAGAGGGGAGGCGCGCAATGTTTTTTTTCACACAAACGCTCTCGACTGATTCCTCCTTGATTTTTTGAAGTGAAAACTTCTTTAGCGGCGTTGTACACTTTTTTTTTGTATGGTTAAAAAATGTTAAACTCCCGTCTGGTTAAACACGTGGGCTGATCGCATCATGACACACAATAAAATTGGAAAGGTTGTTCACTTTCAATATATTGGACGAAACATAGTACTATTTTATTTTACCGTATTATATATAATAATAAGTCTCTATCTAGGACGTCCATGTGGCAGCTAAATTGCGAAGAAAATGCATTTTTTTACAATAAATGTCACTAGATGCGCTTAAATGTGATTCATATAAGTTGATTTCTTTACAATAGATGTCGCTAAGTGCGCTTAAACGTGATTCATGTAAGTTGATTTTTCTGAGAGATAAACTTTTTTAATGTAATATAAATTGTCATGTTTGTGTACGATAGCGCAATAAATAAATATTGTATTCTACCACATACATATACTTTTATACTAATAACTACAGCAATTCGTGCAAAATTATTCCCTAACCATTCCAAAATATCAAAAATGCACAACGTTAATATTCAAGTCTTTATTCGGAGTGCAACCCGTCGTTTTTTTTAATCATTCTATGCTCATATGTTTTCCCTTTTCCGATAACTTGTGATTTAAAGAAACTATAAGCCCTGAAAAAAGCTATATATATATATATATTTAGGTCCGCGGTAGCATATTGCCTCTTTAGGATATTCTATATCCAAATGCAAGGGATTTGAGATATAAGTACTTATATCTCTCAACTAATAATGAGTCAATAATTGCCAGATTTTCGTGAACGCTGGCGGCGGTGGTTACGCCATCTTCTCCCATAGCGTGTGGAATGGGCTCACAATAGCAGACGTAGTGTTCCCTTGGTTTGCGTTCGCTATGGGTGAAGCTTTGGTCCTGTCCCTCAACGCTAGACTGAGGACCTCGATGCCCCGTACTACAGCCCTGTATCAGGTATGTTAAGCTAAAAGCATTTCTTTCACTAAACTCAGTAATCCATATATATAAAACTCAAAGGTAACTGACTGACATAGTGATCTATCAACGCACAGCCCAAACCACTGGACGGATCGGGCTGAAATTTGGCATGCAGGTAGATGTTATGACGTAGACATCCGCTAAGAAAGGATTTTGATCAATTCTACCCCCAAGGGGATAAAATAGGGAATGAAAGTTTGTATGAAACTTTGTCAATTTTAAACCGATCGGGCTGAGACTTTGCATGCAGGTATAAGAAGAATCATAGATGAATGTCATTGTGTATAATAAAAGCCTGAGAACAAAAACTGTAGTCTATACTTCAGCTCTACACCAAAGCGAAGCGAGGGCGGCCCGCTAGTTTTTAATAAATGTTCTTTTAATTTCCTTTTAATGTCTTTTAACCTCTCAAATTACGTAGTGAATTTAAAACTCAAGTCATAACGACGTCATCAACAAAATGGCTTCTCAAATACCGGCTCCGATAAAAAAAAATATTACGCTGTAGCCAACCCATTAATTATCATTTCGTAAACTCACGAGGAGCTCGATGGCGCCGGTGGTTATCGCGTTCGGCTGCAATCGTTGAATTTAAGCAACTTTCGCAGTGGTCGGTCATTGGATGGGTGACCAAAATCTTCTATCTCGAGTGCCTCCGTGCTTCGGAAGGCACGTTAAGCCGTTGGTCCCGGCTGCATCTGCAGTCGTTAGCGCCCGCCAATCCGCACTGGGCGTCGTGGTGGGTCTAGGCTTGTTGAAAATATATCGATGTATCGATATATCGATATTTTTTGTTCGATATATCGATATTTTTTGCCGATATATTTTGATTCGATATATCGATACATCGATACAAAATAACCAATATTGAAATTCGTATCAAAAACGATATTTTTTTAATTATTAGCGGCATATCACGATCTAACTAAATTAGTATCTGGAAAAATCGTAACTGGATCTCAGATTAATGATATTCAACATATCTATGATCTGTGCTGTATTTAGTATTGTCTATTATTTGTAAATCTGTTTCGCTGGTGAATTGGTTGTGCTGATTTCCATTATAGTCTGTGGAAGTGTGTAACTGTCTAGTCTTGTTTACGAAAGATGGCAGCTGAGAGGCCCTGCAATCATTTTCATCATTCGGAAATAGGGTCTATTTTTAGATAATTTTCGTTCCATTATTATTCCGCGTGTCATATTTCGTGAGATACTGTACTGCCATGTAGTGTAGCGGCAATTTGGTACTTTGATGATTCTTTCTTTAATTATAATTTGTATTGAACTATTATTACTGTGCTAGGCTGACCTAAATATATTTTTGGGAAAATTGGTCCGATATATCGATGTTTTTTTCGCGATATATCGAAGCCGATATTGATATTTCTTAAAATATCGATGTATCGACATCCCTAGGTGGGTCATGGCCCAATCTCCCTATTCTATCCATAGGGAAGGCCTGTGCCCCAGCAGTGGGGACATTAATAGACTGATGATGATGATGAAACGAAAGTTTACTAATTGATAAATTTTACTTTCAGTCGATTATCAAAACATTATATTTTTTTGAGTTGCCTAAAGTTTACATTAAGTTTACATTACGATATAAAATAAACGCAAAGTCGGTTATATTCCGAGAAACATATATCTAAGCCTATTTTCTTCTTCTCTTAAGAAATCCCCGTCGCATGTGTGCGTGACTCTATTGTCAGATTGTTAGAAAGCAGTCAATGTGTGCATGTGTAGCGCCGAGCTTATCTACCACATGTAGTAGATATTTTTATCTGCTGCTTCCGTACAGTCAATACTGTATCTAGACGTGTATATAGTTATCGATTTTTAATTTTGACGACCTCCGTGGCCTAGTGGCTTGTACGCCGGGTTTCATGGTGTCGACGATTCGGAGAGGTTCCGGGTTCGTATCCCGGTGGAGGCAGATGTTTGTGTGATGAATACGAGCATTTGTACTCCAGTCATGGCTGTTTGATATGTATTTCTATGATTTTTATTTATTTTTTAAGCATTTAACTGCTAGATGTTTAAATCTAAAGAAAAGTTTAAAATCCACGCGGACCAGGCAGCGGACGGGACTCGAACCCGCATCCTTCGCTATCCGGGCGAATGCACTGACCATTATGCTACCACGGCCCTATTAGCCGCGTCGAAATTTTCCTAGCCTTAAGCTGCAAGGCAGCGCCATCTCCTCGCATTGTAGGTAACCCACAATTTCAAATGAATACTTTTTCAAGTATTAAACATTTGAAAGAAGAAATAGCAATTATAGTTATGATTTTTTTTTAATTTTTTAAGCATGTAACTGCTAGATGTTTAAATCTAAAGAAAAGTTTACTAGAAAAAAGCCTTGCAGCTTAAGGCTAGGAAAATTTCGACGCGGCTAATAGGGCCGTGGTAGCATAATGGTCAGTGCATTCGCCCGGATAGCGAAGGATGCGGGTTCGAGTCCCGTCCGCTGCCTGGTCCGCGTTAATTTTTTTTCTAGTAAACTTTTCTTTAGATGTATTTCTATATAAATATACTTATGTATGTACAATTTAAGTATTGTAACGGATAGACCGTTACTCTGGCATCCCATAACACAAGCCTTACAGTTGCTTACTTAGGGCTAGGCTAGTGTTGGAAATATTTATCTTTTATTTATTTATTATATTTATCATTTTTTTTCCAACACTCACCCCAATTAACCTAGCCCCAAAGTAAGCACTGTAGGCTTGTGTTATGGGATACTAGGGTAACGGATATAATACATATAATATACATATATAAGTATATTTATATAGAAATACATATTAAACATCCCATGACTGGATTACAAATGCTCGTATTCATCACACAAATATCTGCCCCCACCGGGATTCGAACCCGGGATCTCTCCGAGTAGGCGACATCTTGAAATCCGGCGTACAAACCACTCGGTCGTCAAAATGAAAAATCGTTAACTATATTTATTAGACGTGTATATAGTTAAAGTTTTTTATTTTTTTGATGTCATAATGTTGTCTCCGTAACAGGTGGCTAGCCGTTCCCTATCGATGGCTCTGATCGGCATAATGTTGTCGTCTGTGAACGTCTCGTGGGACAACGTTCGGTTCCCGGGCGTGCTACAGAGACTGGCCGCCATGTATCTCATAGTTGGTGCTTTGGAATGTGCCTTTATGAGGACCAGCCAGAATATAACGCCAGGTTAGTATAGTTTTTTTTTATAAATAGAGGTAGGCAAATGACTCTACCCCACCTGATGTTAAGTGCTAATAAAGTCCAAACGCGAAGATTGCTGGTACAGCAGTTATAAACTGCCACACCAATCATCCTCACCTTGCCGGCCTGCAAAAGTGCTTCTTCACGCCTCTCTTAGAGGACCCCAGATTGTAGGATGGAGGGAACACTTGCGCGGATAAAGAATTCCACTTACGAATAGTACGACAAAGAAATGAGTCACCAAATTTTTTTGTTCGTGTAGGAATAGTGGCCACACTAAGTCGGTGGCAACGTAGGCCAGCTCGCGTGGTCCTCTGAAGAATATACTAATAAAGTAATAAAATAGTGTACTCGTTTATTATATTGTTACGTGTCGGGATGGGGTTCGAAATTATATGCCAGTTCACGCTTGACAGTACTTTATTCACCACACAGTTAACACACAATGTTAATCACAAAACACTCACTATACAAGTCTTTAAACAATCGCACTTGAAAACTTTACTTGCACTTTGATCGCCTTTGTAGTCGTTCCGTAATCGCTGTTGAAATTCAACAGTTATCGCCTTGAAAGTAAACTGGCTCTACGCGGCGCCGATCGCGCTTATATGGGCCAATCGACGCATTCTAGAAAAGTGCCGTTAAATTGAGAGTTAACTAGCACCTGCGAGTGCGTAGTACCTACTTATACGTAGGTAACGCGCATAAGTTGTAAACAAGTGCAGATGTCGTTGCACTTTCTCCCTTACGCCGGACTGCATAAGGCTCATATTAGAATAGGCCGCGGTACTCCTCCCGCGGTGTTCAGGTAAAATCGGTCTCCAGTATTTTCGCGGTTAAGTTTCGGTAAAGAAAATTGTCGGCTACCAACGATGCGAAGAGATGACGCTGCCTTGCAGCTTAAGAAATACTAGAAGAAATTCGACACGGCAAAGAGGTCGCGGCTGCGATCGTTGAATTTAAGCAACTTTCGCAGAGGTCGGTCATTGGATGGGTGACCAAAAATCTTCTATATCAAGTTCCTCCGTGCTTCGGAAGGCACGTTAAGCCGTCGGTCCCGGCTGCATCTGCAGTCGTTAGCACCTACCAATCCGCACTGGGCTCGCGTGGTGGGTCATGGCCCAATCTCCCTATTCCATCTATAGGGAAGGCCTGTGCCCCAGCAGTGGTGACATTGAGAGGCTCATGATAATGATGATGATTGTAGTATTTGCTAGATTTGTGTAGTCAAATAGAAGTTAGTATTGTAGCATTTGCGAGATTTGTACAGTCAAAATAAAGTGTAGTTTTGTAGTACGCAATTTTGTAGAACTTCCGTGATTGCTCTAGAGTCAAATAAATATACGTGACTTTCTCGTACTTTCATGATCAATGTAGTCAAAAAATATTTAATTTAATTAAGTCTTGAAAATCTTGAAGTGCAATGGCAGCGGTTTCTGTCTTTTAACTTTGGTTTAGGTTAATGCTGCATCTTTGAAATCTATATATATAAAACTCAAAAGGTGACTGACTGACTGACATAGTGACCTATCAACGCATAGCCCAAGCCACTGGACGGATCGGGCGGAAATTTGGCATGCAGGTAGATGTTATGACGTAGGCATCCGCTAAGAAAGGATTTTGATCAATTCTACCCCCAAGGAGATAAAATACCGAAGCGAAGCGAAGGCGGGCCACTAGTGTAACATAAACTTTATTTTATTCAAGATGATTTATTAAAAGCTAAATATATCTTTTTTTACATCAAGATATCATCTCTTAGATTACAAGAATAATTGTCAACAGAAACTTATTATCAGCTTTTAACAGAATTAGTGACTTGCTCGTACACATTAAGATTAACCGTTTCCGGTAAAATTACAATAGCAGTCTTGTACTTGTTATATAGTCATCAACCTCCTTATTAATTAACGCAGACTATGCTTGGACTAGTTATCCTCGAAACTTAAGAGGTGGTGATAGATTTGTTTTAGACTTTGCACCAAAAACCTCGGTGTACCAGAAAAGCTGTTATAACATATGCATTAAAGTATACAACATAATTCCAAATCAATTCAAGTACGGACCGGTTAATAAATAAATGTTTTAATAGTACAAATGAATTCTTATTATAAATTAATAATTGTTATTGTGTTGACATAATGAAGAAATGGCTATACACTTCGAAAATATGACATGTTCTGTACAATTGTGGTTATGACAACCATAGTGGCCTAACTCATTTTTTAACCATAGTGGCCTGTCTTACTTAGGCCAGTATGGCACCTCAAATTTAGATCACAGACTAAAAACCGTAACAGTGATTATGCTGACATCTAGTGAATATTCGTTGTATCACTTTTAGATCACTCTGGCTCTATCAAAATGATCAATTTGAACTGGAAAAAATCATAAACTCAATATTGTAAAAAAATGAGTTAGGCCACTTAGTCCAGTCGGAATAGCCATAATTTGGACCGACTTCTATTCTAAGACACCAGCGCTTAGCCAATTTTTTCCTAGGTAGTATAGACCCCCACGAATATGCCTTCCATTTGTCCCCGCTAGAACCCGTGTTTTGTAGCCAGGAAAATTGTTTAAACAAAGAAAAACCGTTTTTTTTTTGAGTTTTTTTGCTGGTAAACGGGGATTTTGAAAAATTTTTTGAATCAAAGTTGTTCATTAGCTTGCCCTCTACAAAATCAGTTCTATGAAAAAATAACGTGAGATTGTTAGTTTAGCAGTAAATTGCAATTATGTCGGTTTTACGTTTGCAACAATTCAACATGTTATAATAAACATTTTGATTTCTAAAGTAGTTTATCATGTGGGTAACGCCACTCCCAAGAGAGTCATGTAAAATTTATCGACCTGTGTCGCAAACTTTAGCAACAATTCTCAATCTCCGAAAAAAAAGTACTTACCTGTCCCGTCTTTCCCAGAAGGCGCACAGCGGGAAAAAAAAATTCAGGTGATTCGATTCACCAAGAATTTTGAGGAATCGATCGAGTAGAAAATAATCGTTAATAAAAATGTTTGTTTTTGGCCGATTTAATTTTTTTTTAAAAATTGACGTAGAATATTTTTTTTTAAACTAATGTATTTTTCTCTCCTCAACTCGAATATACTATTCTGAATATATATATATATATATATATAATATGTATAATACTAATATACCCTGAGAATTCCGATTATGAACCGGAAGAAAAAAGGACGAAATTAATTTAATTAGAAATATAGAATACAACGCAGTCTTGTAATCGAATTTTAGTTAATAGTTTTGTAAATAATATCTGTACATAAATAAACTGAATTTTTTAAATTTTCAATCGTATATTCGAGTTGAGGAGAGAAAAATACATTAATTTAAAAAAAAAAATATTCTACGTCAATTTTTAAAAAAAATTTAAATCGTCCAAAAACGAACATTTTTATTAACGATTTTTTTCTACTCGATCAATTCCTCAAAATTCTTGGTGAATCGAATCACCTGAATTTTTTTCCCCGCTGTGCGCCTTCTGGGAAAGAAGGGACAGGCAAGTACTTTTTTTTCGGAGATTGAGAATTGTTGCTAAAGTTTGCGACACAGGTCGATAAATTTTAAATGACTCTCTTAGGAGTGGCGTTACCCACATGATAAACTACTTTAGAAATCAAAATGTTTATTATAACATGTTGAATTGTTGCAAACGTAAAACCGACATAATTGCAATTTACTGCTAAACTAACAATCTCACGTTATTTTTTCATAGAACTGATTTTGTAGAGGGCAAGCTAATGAACAACTTTGATTCAAAAAAATCTTCAAAATCCCCGTTTACAAGCAAAAAAACTCAAAAAAACCGGTTTTTCTTTGTTTAAACAATTTTCCTGGCTACAAAACACGGGTTCTAGCGGACAAATGGAGGGCATATTCGTGGGGGTCTATACTATCTAGGAAAAAATTGGCTAAGCGCTGGTGTCTTAGAATAGGTCTCATGTTTATTCCGACTGGACTAACTATGGTTCTCATGGCCTCAATTATTGGAATGCTACTACTACTCAATTTAAAATTGATTTTTTAAATAATTTATAAACTTTCATTTCTTAATTAGTCTAAGCTTATTCCCTGTTTATTAATAAGGGGGTGAATTGGTACTTTTTAATCGACTTCAAAAAGCTGGAGGTTCTCAATTCGATAGTTTTTAGGTTTAAAGAAGAAAATTGAACACTTATAAGAACGCTTTATTGTCCGTCTGTCTGTGAAGTTACGACCCATTATCTCGAGAAAGAGATCTTTAAAGTATCTAGTTGAAATTTAAACCAGACACTTAAGTCTACAGTATCTGTAAGTTGGGGGGGAAAAACATCAAAATAAAATATTCATCTGAAGTGAAACTTCTTTTCTTAAATAACCTAACATAAGACGGTGCATAAGGCATATGAGTATGAAGTAGCGCACGCATAACTCACATGTCTCATATATGTGTGTGTGTATTGTCGTGTGTGACGCTCGTTTACGCTAGTAGCGATTCAGCCTTCGTCGATATCAACTTTCATGCTTGTCGGGAAGAGCTGCGCACCCATCGCTCACACACCCACACACACATATTTATATATACATACTGTCGTGACATATTGTCCTGTGACGCTCGTGACGCATTTCCATTTCATCTTTTCCATGAGATTTTTTTATTAACACCCCGCCCGAAAGGAAGTTTCACTTGAAAAATCTAATTTAAAAGTCAACGTAAAAATAGGAGACACGGCTAGTTAAGTTGCGTACTTATATATTTGTACGGAACCCTCCTATTCGCACTTGTCCGGTTTTATCAGCTATTTATTATTATTGTTTTGTTACAGGGCGTTCCCTGTTAAGAGATCTCGCGGCGGGATGGCAGCAGTGGCTTGCCACTCTTGTGTTGGTAGCCATGCAGGTAAGAATATGAAGTCGTATGGACTAAATAAAATAATAACTAATTATAAGGCGTTTTTAGAATAACGATGCGCGATTATGATGCCGATGCGACTGGATGCCATTATTGGAAGCCGATGCCATCTAGTTTTGACATGACAACGTCTTAAAATTCGATGGAGTAGGCTGCACGCATGAAAAAACATGACTCATGCGGCGTTACCTCGCTCTGAGGCGTTCAATTTAAGGCTTGAAGTGCAAGCGAGAGCGCGCAACGAGCGACAAAGAGGCACAATCGGCCTCCGCGTTTGGCAGCGTTCGACATAAAATATGTCTCTCTCCTACTTGAGTGAGCAATGCGTCCACGTGGATAGCTGCTATACAATACATTACAATACATTTACATGTTTTCGTCAAGTATGAAGTGCATTGAAAAGTTAATGTGGTGTCAATTGTTTATAGCTACGATAATTGCGGCGATAAAGGTAATGATATCACACATGTTTAAAAGTTGTAAAACAATTGCTAACATTCATACCTGTAAAAACTATGTACATTGTAAAAAAACGTTGTCACGTTCAACTATCGGCAGTAACTTATCTGTGCCGGTGGAGATGTCGCTAGCGGTGAACAGATATGTCATAAAAAAATCAAAATGCTATGGATAAATTGTAGTTCAAATTTTTGCCACCGGCATTGAAAAGTTTGTGGTGCTGGACTGCGTTCAAAACCTACGCTCTGAGTGCAATTTTTTATGTAATAATTTTGTCAGCATTGAATATTTTCAGTCACCATACTGTAAAGTAAATAAATGGTATCGATTATATTTTGAAGTCATGATTCATGGAATTGAACAGACACACCCACACTAAACACGCATAGTCGTAATTCATATCGCATCGTATCCTGTGATCCTTTTTTTTTTTTTTGTGTCTGGAAAATACCTTACGCATCCTTCAACCACTGGGGGAGCGAAAAGAAGCTATGTGGGACTCCTCCCTGTCCTCTTCAGCCAGCCCCGGATCTCGCTGATGTGAACAGGGCCACTAAAAACCAGACAATACTCCTGCACCGTCACCCGACACGCACTATGAGGACCGCGGTCCCCCTAGTGCATGCCGAGAGGGCGGGTGTGGTCGCGGGTCACCCGACACGCACTATGAGGACCGCGGTCCCCCTAGTGCATGCCGAGAGGGTGGGTGTGGTCGCGGGTCACCCGACACGCACTATGAGGACCGCGGTCCCCCTAGTGCATGCCGAGAGGGCGGGTGTGGTCGCGGGTCACCCGACACGCACTATGAGGACCGCGGTCCCCCTAGTGCATGCCGAGAGGGTGGGTGTGGTCGCGGGTCACCCGACACGCACTATGAGGACCGCGGTCCCCCTAGTGCATGCCGAGAGGGCGGGTGTGGTCGCGGGTCACCCGACACGCACTATGAGGACCGCGGTCCCCCTAGTGCATGCCGAGAGGGTGGGTGTGGTCGCGGGTCACCCGACACGCACTATGAGGACCGCGGTCCCCCTAGTGCATGCCGAGAGGGCGGGTGTGGTCGCGGGTCACCCGACACGCACTATGAGGACCGCGGTCCCCCTAGTGCATGCCGAGAGGGCGGGTGTGGTCGCGGGTCACCCGACACGCACTATGAGGACCGCGGTCCCCCTAGTGCATGCCGAGAGGGCGGGTGTGGTCGCGGGTCACCCGACACGCACTATGAGGACCGCGGTCCCCCTAGTGCATGCCGAGAGGGCGGGTGTGGTCGCGGGTCACCCGACACGCACTATGAGGACCGCGGTCCCCCTAGTGCATGCCGAGAGGGCGGGTGTGGTCGCGGGTCACCCGACACGCACTATGAGGACCGCGGTCCCCCTAGTGCATGCCGAGAGGGCGGGTGTGGTCGCGGGTCACCCGACACGCACTATGAGGACCGCGGTCCCCCTAGTGCATGCCGAGAGGGCGGGTGTGGTCGCGGGTCACCCGACACGCACTATGAGGACCGCGGTCCCCCTAGTGCATGCCGAGAGGGCGGGTGTGGTCGCGGGTCACCCGACACGCACTATGAGGACCGCGGTCCCCCTAGTGCATGCCGAGAGGGCGGGTGTGGTCGCGGGTCACCCGACACGCACTATGAGGACCGCGGTCCCCCTAGTGCATGCCGAGAGGGCGGGTGTGGTCGCGGGTCACCCGACACGCACTATGAGGACCGCGGTCCCCCTAGTGCATGCCGAGAGGGCGGGTGTGGTCGCGGGTCACCCGACACGCACTATGAGGACCGCGGTCCCCCTAGTGCATGCCGAGAGGGCGGGTGTGGTCGCGGGTCACCCGACACGCACTATGAGGACCGCGGTCCCCCTAGTGCATGCCGAGAGGGCGGGTGTGGTCGCGGGTCACCCGACACGCACTATGAGGACCGCGGTCCCCCTAGTGCATGCCGAGAGGGCGGGTGTGGTCGCGGGTCACCCGACACGCACTATGAGGACCGCGGTCCCCCTAGTGCATGCCGAGAGGGCGGGTGTGGTCGCGGGTCACCCGACACGCACTATGAGGACCGCGGTCCCCCTAGTGCATGCCGAGAGGGCGGGTGTGGTCGCGGGTCACCCGACACGCACTATGAGGACCGCGGTCCCCCTAGTGCATGCCGAGAGGGCGGGTGTGGTCGCGGGTCACCCGACACGCACTATGAGGACCGCGGTCCCCCTAGTGCATGCCGAGAGGGCGGGTGTGGTCGCGGGTCACCCGACACGCACTATGAGGACCGCGGTCCCCCTAGTGCATGCCGAGAGGGCGGGTGTGGTCGCGGGTCACCCGACACGCACTATGAGGACCGCGGTCCCCCTAGTGCATGCCGAGAGGGCGGGTGTGGTCGCGGGTCACCCGACACGCACTATGAGGACCGCGGTCCCCCTAGTGCATGCCGAGAGGGCGGGTGTGGTCGCGGGTCACCCGACACGCACTATGAGGACCGCGGTCCCCCTAGTGCATGCCGAGAGGGCGGGTGTGGTCGCGGGTCACCCGACACTCACTATGAGGACCGCGGTCCCCCTAGTGCATGCCGAGAGGGCGGGTGTGGTCGCGGGTCACCCGACACGCACTATGAGGACCGCGGTCCCCCTAGTGCATGCCGAGAGGGCGGGTGTGGTCGCGGGTCACCCGACACGCACTATGAGGACCGCGGTCCCCCTAGTGCATGCCGAGAGGGCGGGTGTGGTCGCGGGTCACCCGACACGCACTATGAGGACCGCGGTCCCCCTAGTGCATGCCGAGAGGGCGGGTGTGGTCGCGGGTCACCCGACACGCACTATGAGGACCGCGGTCCCCCTAGTGCATGCCGAGAGGGCGGGTGTGGTCGCGGGTCACCCGACACTCACTATGAGGACCGCGGTCCCCCTAGTGCATGCCGAGAGGGCGGGTGTGGTCGCGGGTCACCCGACACGCACTATGAGGACCGCGGTCCCCCTAGTGCATGCCGAGAGGGCGGGTGTGGTCGCGGGTCACCCGACACGCACTATGAGGACCGCGGTCCCCCTAATTTACATTTTTTTATTAATTTTGACATTTCATTATGGCATTGGAATCATATGAATTTGACAAGTTTTATCATCGAATATTAAGATTTTTGACTTGTAATTTGAATAACCTAATTAATTGGTATGACGACTTGTTATGTACCCCTCAAATCATAACATCTTTCTTACACATGTTGTTACAAATAAAAAAATAAAAAAACGAGCGAGCCTTACATTAGTCGCGTTTGATGTGTAACATTTGAAACCTCACCTTATATTAGTAAAAAAAGAAATAAAACCTACTACAAAAGAACTAAGCCATTTGAACATTATGTTCTAAAATCAAATCAAATAGCTCGTGCTTTCGCGACTTCCTGTTACACACTACCGTCCCATTTCACGAAATCACACATAAAAAAATACTTTCTTTTCTATCTTTCTTTTAGATTTGTATATCTCTCCTGGTGGCCGCACCTGGCTGCCCGCGTGGTTATGCTGGCCCGGGAGGATTACACATGTCCACATCCAACGTCTCGCTACAAAACTGCACCGGCGGCATCGCTGGACACATCGACAGGTGAGTGGAGAGACACAAATTGACACAACACAATTAATCAAAATAGTAATCACCTTCATGACATCACGTTTCCACGTTTTATTATTATTTAAGTAATGTGTAACAAGTCACAATTTTAGTTAACATACTCCTCCGAAACGGCTTGACCGATTTTTATGGAATTTTATATAATGCGATTCAACTAAGAATAGGACCAACTGGGCGCCATAATGTGATGTCATAGCTGTCAATTCAAACCAAATAGGTAGAGTGAGCAAAAAAAGTTTTTATTTAATAAAACTTATTTACTAAGATTAAGTGAGAAAAGGCATTAGTTTTTTTTAATAACATTTATTTTTTATTTATTTACTAAGATTGAGAAAAAAAAACACCGATTTTTAATAATATTTATTTATTAAGACTGTGAGAAAAAATGTTAATCAGAATCTAGATCTTCTATTCCGTTCATCTCTGCATTACCGTCGGAGTAGTTATGAATAATCATGCACTATTACTAGGTCACATACGAACATGCATCCTATATATGTAAATGAAAGTTTGAAATCGAGTTTCTGAATGCAACTTAAAGTGACATTTGATTGACGATTTAGGTTATCAACCATTCATGACCAAAGCTTAATAAGTGAAAAAAAAACATAAACTGATATTAATTATCAATATTTATTATTGTTTGTTTACAAATGTTTGGTTTTTATTCTTGAATTAGCGGAGTGCTAAAAAGGGTTCCCAGTTTTTTTTTTGCAAACCGTACTTTTCAAGCGGCATTTGACAGATAGAGGTCATTGGCTTTCCTATTCTTATTTGAATCGCATTATATGCATATTATTTTTCATAGCCCTAAGTGATAAGGGTTATCCACCCCTAAATTTTTTTTAGACAATTTTTTTTTTTTTTTAAATGTGACATACAATCCTAAATTCGACTCTTCTGCCACCAACCCCTATTTTTATGGCGGTACGAAGTTCGCTGAATCGGCTAGTAATATATTTTTTTTTCTTTAGACTCATTCTCGGCCCCTCGCATCTTTACAAAGGCGGTACATTTCGTCATTTATACAACACTGTAGTCCCACACGATCCTGAGGGCATACTGGGAATATTCTCAGGCGTTCTCGTGGTGCAGGCCGGGGCACATGCGACTAGGATAATGCTCGCATACAATCATGCTAGGTAAGATATGTATTTGTATGTGCTGTAGATCTCTCTTATACAGTGTGCTTTTAGTGAAGTGTCAAGCCAATTCCAGGTGGTAAAAGATTACGGTTAAAATAATACACTCTATTGAATGTTTATAAGCTAAAATCTAGAAATTTGAATAAAACTAGATTTAACGGGTTAATGCACGAAGCTTTATTTATTTATTTCAGGTCTGCATCGTCAGAATAACGTTTTTTTTTTAATTTTGTCGAGCTACCTTCGCGAGACTTCTATTGAGCGTTCGGTTATTTCGTTGGTAGATTTTTAAAATTTTATTGTCTATGTATGAATTTATTAGTAAATTTAGTTAATGAAGTATTTTATTTTAAATTCTTTTTTGTAAGTTTGAGTTTATTTATTTGATCCTAACTACCGTAAACTACCACCGGTTCCAAAATTGGGAGACCTTTCTGGGAAGAACTGGCGAAATAAACTCAGAGAGGCTTTACAATAATTAATCTGTTGATAACTAACTACTGTTTTGAATTAATTTAAAAATTAAATAAATGATTGGTTGTATTTTTAGTAACATGTACCCATTTCTATAGTAATTGATTATGAGTTTAGTGGCTCGAAATAAATGATTTTTATTTTTATTTTATTATTTCTAAGGGCTCGTATAATGCGCTGGGTGTTCTGGTCCATAATATTGGGCGTGGCTGGCGGTGCCTTATGCGACTTCTCCAAGAACGGTGGTCCCATACCCATTAACAAGAACCTTTGGTCAATCTCCTATTGTATGGTGACTGCTTCCATGGCGCTGTTCATTCAAGCACTGCTGTATTTCATCGTGGATCTGAAGACTAAGTGGGGAGGTAGACCGCTGTATTATGCTGGTGAGATTATTTTGTTTTGTTTTAGGAAAACCAACAGCTATTAAAACACATGAAACATAAAGAAACTATAACTAGAAAAAATTCCATGCGGTCCAGGCAGCAGACGGGACTCGAACCCGCACCCTTCGCTATCCGGGCGGATGCACTGACCAATTATGCTACCGCGGCCCTGACGACCGCGTCGAAATTCTTCCAGCCATTCTTAAGCTGCAAGGCAGCGCCATTTCTTCGCATTGTAGGTAACCCAGAATGTCAAATGAATACTTTTACAAGTATTAAACATTTGAGAGAAGAAATAGCAATTTTTTCTAGTTATATTTTCTTTAGATTTAAACATCAAGCAGTTACATGCTTAAAAAATAAAAATTATAACCACATGAAACATTAAAAATATGACACAGTTAGCCAATTACAGGTTTTCACAGATAGAAAAGAAAACAAACGGCGAAACAGTATTATACGCTGTATAATATAGTATGTACTCCGGGAGCTCTACTCTCTTTCTCCGGAATGAAATTTCGGCAACGAACGAGTTTTAAACGAAATTTCGCCAGTGACTCTATTTCATCTTCAAACACGCACATAAAGTTCGGATTCACAGACAATTATCGTGAACGAATGGAATGAGTTATGTTTGTGAGTTCTTTTTAGATAACGCTTTTTACTTCAAAACAATATTACTTTATGACACAATTTTTGATTACATTAAAACAACCTCTTTTGATAGTGTTAGCCGACTAATTTGTAGAGTTTATTCAATCGAATATATTTCAACCTAAATTTGTCGTGTAACAGTTTGAAGTATTGGCAATGCAATAATAAACAAAAATTTGATTTCTTTGTAAATTTTTCATACTTAAAAATGATCCTCACACTAAGCAGCCTTAATTAAAAATACTCTAGTTGTAATTTTCGGTTAATTAAGACGAAAATCCCAAAACGAAAATGAAAAGGTAACACTTTTAATTTCGTCAATTTGAGGTTAAACTTTCGAACAATTAATTATCTTTGATTTTATTTATTTTTAAGCATTTAACTGCTAGATGTTTAAATTTAAAGAAAAGTTTACTAGAAAAAAATCCACGCGGACCAGGCAGCGGACGGGACTCGAACCCGCATCCTTCGCTATCCGGGCGAATGCACTGACCATTATGCTACCACGGCCCTATTAAGCTGCCTTGCAGCTTAAGGCTAGGAAAATTTCGACGCGGCTAATAGGGCCGTGGTAGCATAATGGTCAGTGCATTCGCCCGGATAGCGAAGGATGCGGGTTCGAGTCCCGTCCGCTGCCTGGTCCGCGTGGTTTTTTTTTTCTAGTAAACTTTTCTTTAGCATTAATTATCTGTCAAATTCAACCTTTAGTTCGACATTTTGTGAATTAGAGTAGGCTTGGAGACTTTAAATGTCAAACTATTTTCGGACGAACGAATTTTCGAAATGAAATAGAAACAGAGTAAATTTCGTTTTTCGTTGAAATAGATTAGGCCTCAGGGTTTCATGGTGTCGCCGACTCGAGAGGTTCCCGGATTCGAATCCCGATGGGGGCAGATGTTTGTGTGATGAGTTTGTACTCATAGAGCATTTGTACTCCAGTCGTGAATGTTTAATATGTATTTCTATATATATATACGTATATATGTACAGTATATGTATTCTATCCGTTACCCTAGTATGCCATAACACAAGCCTTACAGTGCTTACTTTGGGGCTAGGCTAATGCGTGTGTGTTGGAAATATTATTATATTTATTTGATTTTTTTGCCGTTTTTTCTCTATATTAACAACGGCAACAAGCAGACACCTGAAATATTCACGGTGTATTAAGATGTAATTTCACTTAAAAAATAAATATTTTAAGGGGTCTCCCGTACAACAGACGTAATTTTTTGTGTAAATTTTTAGTTACATCGTATAATAAAAAATATTATTGAAAGTTCAGGTTTGTACGGACCCCCGGTGCGTGAGTCCGACTCGCCCTTGGCAGGTTTTTTTTTAATAATCATTATACAGGCTGTTACAAAAATACAAATAAAGCTTGAACGGCGTTGAAGTACATCATATAAGGAGTCTTCTCTAATTTTCTAAAAATATTTGCATGAAGTTTTAACTTTTTATAAAAACCGTTATTTTTCATAATTAATAAAATTATCAATCAGTTTATGACACGTCACTAGTTCGAGGATCATTAAAAATAACTGGTTTCATAAAAAGTTAAAACTTCATGCAAATATTTTAAGAAAATTAGCGAAGACTCCCTATTTCATGTACTTCAACGCCCTTCAAGCTTTATTTGTATTTTTGAATCACTCTGTATACCTACAAGTTTGTACGGGACCCTTGGTGCGCGAGTTCGACTCGCACTTGGCCGTTTTTTTTATATTTCCATCGAGCAAACCGTGATACAACAGACGTGATTTTTCGCCGTTTTTTGTACGGAAATCTTCGTGCGCCAGTCGGACTAAACTTAATATTAATACAATAAACCTTTTTCAGGTCAAAACGCCCTATTCCTCTACATCGGCAGCATATTACTCAAGAAGCATTTCCCCCTATATTGGTACATTCCGGCCCCGACTCACGCGCAGCTATTGGCTACTCACGCAGCTGGCATGTTAATATGGCTGGCTGTCGGCGTAGCTTTATATAAGAAACGCATCTTTATCACCTTGTAATAAAGAACGTTTTTCATTGTAACATTTTGTGAATAGTGATGACGACAATTTTGTTTTTTTTGCTTTTTCCATCAGGTAGATTGTTAAAAAGTTACCGATGCGTATTTTTTCTTTGTTCACATAATCAAAACGTTACAGGTACAATATATTGTTTCTAAACTTTCATGGTCACTAACATTATAGTATGTATTATAAGTTACTCCGTGATCATGGCGCTTGCAACAGTGTCGAAATATAACCTATATTACTATAATAGGGTATTTGACAAGTTTTAGAAAACGATCTCACGTTATTGACTAATTTTATGGAATCCGTAAAAAGTGGATAATCATCATTCTGTTGTGTATTTCAGTAAAAATAACCAAATCAAAAACTCCATTTTCAAGTTGCCACGAAAACTTTTTCTAGACTTGTTAAACACCAAACTGACTTTGACAACTATGTTCGCTATTGTAAATTTTGAATGCCATAATTAATTTTAAAAATTTGGTACCGCAAAATAAAGTAGAATTATGTAAATTTTGATGGTTCTAAGTCCCATACAAATATGAAACATCTCCTTTTTACTTGAAAAGTGACGTCACGAGGCCCTACTCTCAAACTTTGATGCGTTTTATCTATATATATATATAAATCAATTGTTGTTCGTTAGTCTCGCTAAAACTCGAGAAAGGCTGAACGGATATATCTAATCTTGGTCTATAAATGTTCGTGGAGGTCCAGGTAAGGTTTAAAAGGTGAGAAAAATTAGGATAGCTCTACACCGAAGCGAAGCTAGGGCGGGCCACTAGTCTTTATTATAATTGTTTGGTTGATTGACCGAAGAATAAATACCCTTTATTTTTTGATAATCTGTCTGATGGACTTAATAATAGAATTTCGTTTACACGTCATCACCCCTATTGAATGATGTTTGTTTGAACTTTGAAACGGCTATTGGCTACGCACGCGGCCGCCATGTCAATATGGTTGGCTGTAGCCGCAGCTTTGTATAAGAAAAGCATCTTTATCACCTTGTAATAAAGAACATTTCTCATCGTAAGCAAATTTAAGGAATTCGATTTATTTTTTAGTTTATAATTGGAATCCAATAGGCGTAGCTTTGAATAAGAAACTTTGTCACATTGTAATAAAGAATCTTTTTGCATTGTAAGCAATCGATTCATTGAATGGAATACATGTTTGAAATTGGCATCTAAAAATTTATTAAGGCCTACATACTTATCACTATTAAGGGGTTATTCCGTAATATAAACCAGTATACTGGCCGGTGCTAATGACGTCATGAATGGACGCTATACTGGTGAACTGTTCCGAAATATACAGGGCAGTGCACTGACGTCATAAATCGACGAAATATCAAAAATAGTGTGAATAAAGAAGATTTTTTATTCACCTCATCAATTAAAAGGAATTCTTTTTGTTCGGATGACATTATTGTTCTTTAAATAAAAAAGAAATAAAATTCGAATGTATCTCACGCACGCTCGGTCATACGTCATTCATTTTCCCGGTAAAAATATGGTAGCATACCAGTACAATATGGCGTCGGATTCGTGACGTCATTACCACTGGCCACAGTATACTGATGTGTATTTCGGAATACACCCAAGCTAAGCTAAGTAAGCTGGTGATTCAGCGAATTGAATGTTTGTTTGTAAGTGGAATCTAAAAATTTACTAAAGCTCAATAGGCGTAGCTTGGATAAAAAAGCATCTTTATCACCTTGTAATAAAGAACATTTCTCTTTGCAAGCTGGTGATACAATTAATTTGATGATTGTGTTTTTTTTATTGGAATCTAAAAATATACTTTTTGAATGAGTTCGAAAGTGTTATTAATAAATATTTTCTTCTATTTCTTTGTACTTGTAGGAATTTAAAATGATTGTTAAAGTTATTTAATACAGGAATGTGAAGTTGTATGAGGATTTAATTAAAAAATCATATTAAACGATTCAAAAGGAGTTAGAATTTCAAACTGTTTAAGGTACGTTTAAGTAATGTACCTTAAAACAATGTAATAAATCTTCTTTTTGTTAAGTTATTAATGCTGATAAGCAAACAGCAACTTATTTTCGATTTAGAGGTCAGTATGTGTGTGATATAAAATTGTGTCCTTTTATTTTAATTCTTTTTGTATTATCGTGACTTATTATTTAATTATAATAACTATCTGATTCAATATTACTTAAAATGCTCATATTATTTTTGTTTATAAAGCATTGTTATTATATTGTTAAAAATTAAAACAATATAATATCTGTATTAATATCAAATATTATATCATTAAATGTAACCGCGTATTGAAAAAAAAATATTGTATTACTTAAAAAAAATGTGCGTCGTCACGGGACGCCTGACAGATGTGAAACACTAGCCGGTTTACGATAAATACACTCGGAGAATTGCTCGGGATGCGTGCGGTAAAAATTGACATAGCTCCTGCCTCGAAGGGCGCTGGCGCCGTACTGATCGGCGAGTAGTTGAGCACTGGTATATATTGCATTTCACGGGCGAGCGTCGCCACGCCAGAAATCGGTTTTACTTGCGCCAAAAGATGTTTCACATCAAAAAGAGAGATATCCATAGTTCTGTCAACACAAGTCATATACTAATATAAAGTTGAGCTCTTCTATTATGGTAACTCATTTGACCGACTTCCAAGAAAGGAGGAGGTTGTCTAAATTAATCTGATCTTTTTCTTATCATAAAGTTTTTATTTTCGTGATAAGATAAGAATATATAAACCGCTTCGTTTATTTTTTTTCTGTCACAATAAAAATCGGATTACTTTTAAAGAGAGATAGATATTTTGAAAAACACTAATTGGTTTTTTCATTCGTGATTTCGTTTTTTTATTTTTAAATATAAAGAATGATATCCAGGCCCGAATTTAAGTCAAGTCAGGAGGGGCTCTGGCCCAGGCCCCTACATCAGAGTTAAGCATAGCCAAATTTCAATGGGTCACCATCTAGGGGTAGAGGAGGTTGCAAATTGTATGTGGCTTAAAATAGGGCCCTCAGTTCTGCTCCAGGGCCTCACATCTTTAAATCCGACCCTGAACTTTAAATTTTGATATTTTTAGAGGAAGGTAACAATTATTTTCTTTGGCTCACAGTCAAAAATGGAAGGTTCTTCAGCCTTTTTTATGATGTACTCGTATATACACCCGGCAAACTTTTTGAGTAATGACTATAGATGAGGAAGCCTGCGCAGGAGCAATTTTACAAACAAGAAAGTCAACTGCGATGCCAAACTACTTAATGCGTAAACGAAATTGCGATCGAGTGAGAAAGTCATCAGCGTCATTAGCCTATTAATAACTGCTGGGGTACAGGCCTTCCCTATCGATGGAATAGGGAGATTGGGCCATAAACCACCACGCGGGCCCAGTGCGGTTTAGTGGGTGCTAATGACTGCAGATGCAGTCTGGACTAACGGCTTAACGTGCCTTCCGAAGCACGGAGGAGCTCGAGATAGTAAATTTTTGGCCACCCATCCAATGGCCGACCACTGCGAAAGTCGCTTAACTTCAACGATCGCAGTCGAACTAACCACGCGCGCCATCGAGCTCCTCTAGTGAGAAAGTAATAAATTCTTATTCTGGTGGCTACAAACTCCTATATCATAAAATGATTATGGATAAATTAACATGTAAACAAATTATTCTTCGCTTAATAACAAAATGTACTCATTGCAAGTCGAAGACGTCTGTATCTGTAATGTTGATATTAATTAACTTCATATATACCATCAATTTGTATTAGTAGATAATAAAATCTGATTATATTAGTGTTAGAAACATAGTGTTAGTGGAATATATAAAGACAGAATTTATTTTCACAATAAAATGTTTATTACTAATAATTATGTTTTTTTTTGTTATAATAACATTATCACCTTGAAGTTGATTATTAAACTATTTTACAATAAAATGTCAATGTTTTCTTTTTGCTGCCATATAAATAACAATATAATATGATAATTGATAATAATAAAAATAATAAATCATTGAGGCTTACATTTGTTTCCTCGAGTTTGAGCACCCATTTGGGGAAGTAATTTCCACCTTACAGAAGATCATAGTGAACACTAGGTACCTTTTGATCTGTCGCATAGAAAGCTGAACAAATTATGATGAAATCTGCCTTATAAGCTGGATTAATATTTTATGGAAACTGTACAACAGAGTACTCTCGTTGCGCCATCTGGTGGTCAAAAGATTGATTTTAGACTGTAACATGGTTTAAAATGTAAAGTAAGAAGCTTTAATAAAATCTGCCCAAAATTAAATAGAGTCTGTGCGGAAAGAGAATGGGCGTGGCGAAAAACGGAACTAACATTAAGATTTTTATTTGGCAATCAAACCCAGCAAACTGTTAAACGTCAAAGTTTTGTATTGATACGGATTTTTTTGTTGTTGTGATTTCTTGCGGTTTTTTGTATTTAATCATGTCTAAAAGGGGTAAAACCTGACAAATAGAGTAGAAAAGCACTACAGCGCCCTCCAATCTGAATCCCATTCTCTTTCCGCACAGACTCTACAAGAGATACATTTTTCTCCAATTATTTATTTCTTGAAGTGAATGAGAGAAAATTGTTAAAAATAAAAGAGAGGCTCAAGAGGAAAGATGACGAAATAACGGTAACCCATCCAAAGTAAATGATCGAATCTACGAAGGATAAACGCAATACCTACGTCTTCCCTATGCTTAATCGAGCTTAATGGTGAAAGTAAGACGGACCGTTTGCCTATTGTTGCTATTTTAGCATACTTTTTGTGTAAATTATTCAAAATTCAATAGGTATCGTTTATTTAGTCTAGGCTGTTACAAGCACTGGTGAATGTCGAAAAGCTACGCCATCGGTTAGCTCAGACCAAATAAAAAATACTTTTTATTTGGTCTGAGTCGGTTAGCAAATCTACGGCGGGAGACCTTGTACTGAGAAGAATCGGTAAGAAACTCAGCAAAGGCTGTTTTTTCTCTCTGTTTCATGCACAGTCGTCAAATTGGAAAATTACTTCAATATGAGATAGCTCATGAAGTCACTTTCCATTACAAATGTAAAAGATATAAAAATTATAACTAAAGCTAAAAAAATATCAAAGCTGATTCAACGAAGTTTAGAAATGTTTAGGAATACCGTGTCCTACTATTTACGCATAAAAAAAATGTACGATTAAAGTTAAATACAACGATTAAATTTAGATAAGAAGATATTATTATTCTTTAATCGCACTATCATTCGCACTCCTTGTCGTAGTTGCATTTAAAAAAACCTTTTTTTGGTTGCTATATTTTGGGATGCTACTTGCTTTTAGACTTTGAGCTATTAGACTTGGACTTATTTTGTTGTTATCTAAGGTTCTGTCTCTGTGCAGTGAATGAACCATATTATTTAATATTATGGTTATTATGATGGTGTGCGTGGGATATAATACTAATATCACCCTTATTGCTTACGTAATAATGCCACTACTACCACTAGCCATAGCATAGCCACGTAGAAAGGGTTTAGTTTGATTTGTGAACCAGAAATATTTTGTTAATGTATGAAAATGTTTTGGGTTTTCAATTATTATTTTAGTTTTACTCAACTTTATCGACTATACATACAACTAAATCGAGAAGAGAAAGTGCTAGTCCACAAACATCTTTAGATTCATTAACGGTAACGAAACGCATTTAACCTTCGCATGCCTTTGAAATGTCAGTGCGACGTTTGTTATCGTCGCTATCGGTACACATATTCGGTTGTGGCTGTCGGTGTAAATCTTCTCGTACTAAACTTTCACTTTACTCAAAAACTATGGAGCCCAAAGTAAATCTGAAAGAAGATCCAGCATTCAAAAAACTCCAAGAGTACTACGATGCTAACGCCGGTAAAATTAATATCCTGCAAATGTTTCAACAGGACGCCGATAGATTTAATAAATTCAGGTATTTTAATTTTTTTTTTAATTTACTTGCCATAAGTTCAATTTCGTGAAGGCACATCACACAACCTGTTGTCATATTTATGAGATACATTTGAAAATAATTGCGCAATAAGTCATGATTTTAGAGAATTAAACCATTTTCAGTGAGTTGTATCAGACAACTGAAAAGTCCTTTAAAAGGTCACGTACAGTTCAATGACATTTTTTACGTATGATGGTACACATAACTCTTTATTAAACACTTAAGTAAACACTGTTGTTAATGAGGTATTAATAATTATCTTGTATTAATTTATTAAAATAACTTTAAAAACCTCACCCGAATATGTATCGTTGTTTATATATTTTTTATTTGGGCTATGATGATCTCTTTAATTGGATCCCTAAATAAGAGTAAATATTCAAAGCTCTTAAGTTAGGGAAAAAGTCATATTAATTAATTTAAAAGTATAAGGTTTCAGACTTACAAGTGAATTCTCCTTCATACAACCTTGTCTTGCATGCCCAGGCTTGTATCAATATGTCTAGATAGGTACCTTGTGTGGTTGATCCCATACTATGCCACTGGGATGTGGCTTGCTTAAACTGTACTTGTGATTATTTATTATTTTATTCAGTCACTCTGAAATTAATTAACAATTTTGGCTGAATATTTCTATCCTTTGATTGTAATTTGAAAACCCATTCAAATAACATAGTGTTATCTAATAGGGTACTCAATATCCTGGGAATAGGTACTCCAAGGGGTCTTGGAAGCCCATGCACATGAGTTGTGAGTAAATATTGGTTAAGCCTACTTTTTTAGAAACTGACTCCAAAGGTACCTTAATTAGTTCTGTTACACACATAATTCATATACACATTTTGGTATCTCAGTTAGATCTGTGGCTTATAAAATGGCAAACACAAGTATCATCATCAGCCTATTCATGTCTCCCCTGCACAGGCCTTCCCTATGTATGGAATGGAGAGATTGGGCCATGACCCATCACTCGAGCCCAGTGCAGATTGGTGGGTGCTAATGAAGACCAACAGCTTAACGTGCCTTCCGAAGCATGCAGGAGCTTGAGATAGTAAATTTTTTGCCACCCATCCAATGATCGACCACTGCGAAATTTGCTTATCTTTAACCATCACAGGAGAACGCGCTAGCCACTTGCAACATCCAGCTCCACACAAATAAAGTTTTAAGACAAAATTAATTTAAACTTTTTTTTTGCAGCCTCACAATTCCTACTCCTAATGATGGTGATATCCTGCTGGACTACTCCAAGAACCGCATCAATGATACACTGTTCCCTTTACTCCTCAATCTGGCAAAGAGTCGAGGAGTTGAGCAAGCTAGAGATGCTATGTTTACTGGTAATTTTCCACTTATGACTTATAACTAGTAGAAACATTCAATAATATAGATTGAACATCTTATTTATTTATTATTTATGAACTTTATTAACAATCATTGCTCATTTAATGATGTTCATGAATTCTATGTGGGACTTGTGGCCTGCCCTCACTTCGCTTCGGGGTATAATTGATCAAAATCCTTTCTTAGCGGATGCCTACGTCATAACATCTACCTGCACTCCAAATTTCAGCCCGATCCGCCCAGTGGTATGGGCTGCGCGTTGATAGATCACTATGTCAGTCAGTCAGTCACCTTTGAGTTTTATAATAGATTAGTTAATTACTATGCCAGCTTTGAAGTGTAAATCTTTGCACTTCCTAAGAGCAGTTCCCGAAAATCAGCATTTTGTCTAACATGGCAAAAACATTGCTCAGCTTCTGCCTATTTGCATCACTGTCACTCACTGATGACTGCATTTCCAGCTAGTTATTTAGGAATAGTTCATACTAATATTTTACAGATGTCTGCTCTGCAGGGAGATTAAATGTAATTATGCTTATGTTAATTTGTGATGCAAATAAATAAATAAATTTTAAACATCTAAAGGCTGCAGATAGACGACGCGAAAATATTCTTGCGGCCGAGGCGCGGCGACCGCGCTGTGGCCGCCTAATAACTGTTCATTCCACTCCTCGATCACACGCTCAGTTAGTTACTCACAAAGAATTTCAATATTAAGTCCTAGTTAATAAAACATAAATCTGCTATGACGACTGAACAGTTATTACGCGGTCACAGCGCGGTAACCGCGCGGCCGCCGTGCTGTCACCGCGTGTGCCATTCTGTGTCATATAAACGCGCCCTTACTGATCCTCATGTGGTGGCATGATGGACCTAATTAGCACTTATACTATGCTGAATTGCTGAAATTTTGTAAATATACTGCATACATTATAGAATTGAATACAGTTTATGCGTGTGCAAAGAACACCATATAAAGCATGCTTCAAAAAAATTACAGATTTTAATTTTAAACTTTCCAACGAACTCTAAGGTAGAAAAGTGATATTGATATTTTTTTTATCTTGTCTGAAGATTTATTGCAAAGATTCCATTAAATATGCAGATTTATGTAAGTGATGATATGGATCTAATATGGATCTAAGCGTAATTACATTATACCACGTTTTATATCGCGTTTAACTGTCAAACTACTTGAGCGTGATGAAAACGCATTACATATCATATTGTGGTGATCATACTAGGGGGGCTAGACTTCAAAGTATATTTATCTGCATCAAGATCAATGGCAAATATTTGACATCCATATAATGTTTAGTATAAATATCTGCTTTGGTCCAGGCGAGAAGATCAACTTTACCGAGGACCGAGCAGTGCTCCACATAGCACTGCGTAACCGTCAGAACCGACCCATCCTCGTGAACGACAAGGATGTGATGCCCGATGTGAACGCAGTGCTGGAGCACATGAAAGAGTTCTCAAACCAGGTCATCAGTGGACAGTGGAAAGGGTGAGTCTAGATATTGTTTATTGTAATCTGTCATACTATGGGCTTGACATATTGTAAATACTAGAGATGGGCCGAAGATCTATGAAGAACCAAGATTATGATTGTCGATCGTGCTAATAACAACTCGCCAGAAATTACTAAAATCGCGAACTGCGATGTCGTTCAGTCATATATCTACCTTGGATCACTGATTTCGGGCAACGGTGGATGTGCAGATGAAGTTAAGCGGCGCATGGCAATCACGAAGTCAGCTATGGACAAACTTCAAAAAATATGGGGAAACAGGAACATCACAAAAGCCACGAAAACACGACTCGTCAGGGCATTAGTGTTTCCCATATTCCTCTATGGTGCTGAGACGTGGACCTTGCGAGAGAGTGAGAAAGAGAAGATAGACGCTCTAGAAATGTGGTGCTGGGGGAAAATGCTTGGCATACAGTGGACACAATTCCGAACCAATGCATCCATCCTCCAGGAACTGTCCGTCAAACAACGTCTGTCTTCCATCGTACAAGGTCGTATTCTAACTTTCTTTGGCCACATCTCACGCCGAGAAGATGCGTCAGTGGAACGACTGGTGGTGTAGGGCAAAGTCGAGGGCGCAAGGGCGCGCGGCAGTTCACCAATGCGCTGGACTGACCAGATAAAAGCGGCACTGAACGGTCCACTTCACGAGTTCACTAGAAAGGTCACCGCAGTGCGGGACGAATGGCGGCGTATTGTGAAGCGCGCCACCAATCCTGATGTGACGACCACGACCACTCTGTCAAGAGTGTAGCGCCGAAGAAGAAGAAGAGATGGGCCGACTATAGTATTTACCGACTAACCGACTAATCGGTTCTCAAATTGGCGACTAGTCGCCGACTATTCTGCAATGCCGATCATTCTAATACCTTTCATAGGAAGGTGTTCGGAATATTGCGTCATTACTCGGCATGCTCACGCACGACACGAGTCTCCCAAATCATACGCGACGCAATATCACAACGTGCCTCTAAGGAAAAAAAATACCTGTGCACTTCTTTAAGACTCGCTAGCACTTAAGATTTTACTCAATTAATACATACTTCCCATTGATCTTTTGTTATGTGCGATATTCATTGTGTTAAGCCATCTTACTGACAGATTCCTAAGTTCCTAATTCTTATTAAGTTACCTTATTTTTTTTAATACTTTAAGACTGTAGGTAACTTTAAATATATACTCTAGCTTCTGTTTAAATCTTCAAAAGAAGTATAATTTTTCAGTTTTATTTCATTGATATGTGCCGATTATAATCGGCATGTTATGCCGAATAGTCGCCGACCAATCGCCGACTATAAACGATGCCGAATAGTCGTCTTTCCCGACTAGTCGGCGGCTAGTCGGTCCATCTCTAGTAAATACTCATTCACTTGTTCGAAAAAATATATAATTATATACCAAGGTATTTATGTATTTTATTCATAGCTTTACTGGTTCTTTTATTGAGAATTTATCTGCTAACACCATATTTTCCATAAGTATACACTTCTTTAGATACAGCAGACAAATGTATAGCTCAAGCCATTCACACCTTGCCAGCTTGAAACTAGACCCTATCCAATGGAACACTAGAAATCTTGCTCACCAAAATAAACACAACACTGCCAAATTTAGTCTCAGCTTAGTGTGGTCTTCTACAGTATTTAGTTTTGTAATGTCAAGGTAATTAGGGGGAATTGAGTTTAGGCCGCTACAATGAGATGGCGTCACCCACATACCTATATATCTAAGTAGACGACTCATCAGCTTTAAATTGTAAGAAATGCGAGCGCATTGTATTTCTGAGTGTTCGCGAGAACTAATTATTGGTGGAACATAATGATGTATAATGTATAGACAGATCATACACCAACATTGATGCATTTTAAAATGGCACAGGTAGTCCCCGCCCCAACTTCCCTTGGCAACAGCCGCCAATAGAGCGCACAAAAGTAATCAATGGTAGCTTTCCAATTACAGCATTATAGCGCATTATGCGGCATAATGCTTAACGTTGAATGTTCCAACTACAGCAACGCTTCGCACAATTGAGCACTCTCAAAAGTAATGCTTTCGTGTGATGCGTGCAATCGTACCAACTCAGAGACAGAAAATTAACAAGTGTTTTTTCTTTTAGTTGGCATTGATCGAAATGTTTTATGTATATGTCATCGTTAGTAATATTATTTATTGTTGAAAAATTATTAAAACTTTCGTTTCATCATAGTTTTTTTTTTAAATAATCAAAGTTAATTCAAAGTGTGTTAAAAATTAAATATAAATATAGATGAAGGTACAAACATTGACTTTTTTTCAACACTGAATTTAGCGCACTCTGCTGGTGCATTTGAAAACTAATTCACGTTCCAATTAAGCATCAGCATAATTCGGCATTGTGCGCCACTGAGTAGCATTATGCTCTGTAATTGGAAAACCACCTCTTTCACTCTCATGCATAAAGCAATTACATCTCGTCTCCAACTCCACGTGTCAACGGTGTCAGTGACTGCCTAAATAAGTCATCACTAAATATTTTTACATTAGGTAATTTCTTCAAAACTGTTCTTACGAATGAAATGACACATTTTTAGGGTTACCTCTCATACCACTCCTGGACTTAGAACCCTGGATCAAGGGCGGATCCAGCTTTGGCGCCAGGGGGGGTCATATAGCCAGCTTTGGCGCCAGGGGGGGGGGGGGGGGTCATATAGTCGTGGTATATTAAATATTGAAAGTACTTAAATAAAATCGCCCTGGGTTTGGTCCATCTGTACCCAGCCCAGGGGGGGGTCATGGCCCCCATGACCCCCCCCCCCTGGATTCGCCATTGCACTGGATTTGGAATAATTTCTCAAGAAAGAGGGAAAAGGAAATTTTCGGATGTTTGGGTATAATCTATGCTTTAATAGCAATTGGATTGCTTGAATTTGTAGTGTGAGCTCATCATAAGTTTACAGTTGGTATAGATATTGAAACATGAGCTTATTTTCGCACTGTTGGATCGTGTTTAAAAAGTAATACACAGTCTATTTATCTTTACTCGCAACTCAGGTACACTGGTAAGCCGATCAGTGACGTCATAAACATCGGCATCGGCGGCTCGGACCTGGGACCACTGATGGTCACCGAAGCTCTAAAGCCGTTCGCCAATCATCTGAAGGTATGAGAAACACTATGACTTACGTTTATAGATTAAATCCATAGACAAATGAACTTCGAAATCAACTGTACCCTAACTTATCGCTATCGCTTGATTTTGGCAAAATTTGTCGTGAATATTTTTTGCTTCTTTTTAGAGTTCTGTAGCCAATTGGCATAAAACGGAACCCTTATGGATTCGTCATATATGTCTGTCCGTCCGTCCGTACGGATGTATGTAGATGTATTCTGTGAACCGCATTAAGATTTCACACAAAAATAGAAAAAAAACAGTTAAATTGGGTTTCCCCATACTTAGAACTGAAAATCTACGAATAATACGAGGTCTTCAAAAATTATATTGAGGTTTCTCATATATTTTTTTCTAAACTGAATAGTTTGCGCGAGAGACGCTTTCAAAGTGGTAAAATTACTGGAGTACAAATGCTCGTATTCATCACACAAACATCTGCCCCCACCGGGATCCGAACCCGGGACCTCTCGAGTCGGCGACACCATGAAAACCGGCGTACAATAAAATGTATCACTATTCCACTCATTATCCAATACAGGTACATTTCGTATCCAACATCGACGGCACCCACCTGGCCGAAGTATTGAAGAAGCTCAACCCTGAGACGGCGCTCTTCATCATCGCCTCCAAGACCTTCACCACGCAGGAGACCATCACCAACGCCACTTCCGCCAAGAACTGGTTCCTGGAGCAGGCGAAAGATGTGAGAATAAAATTCTAGTTCTAATCTCTCTAGTTCTAAAACTCTGCTAATCTCTTATCTATTAGACAAGTCCGTCCGTCTGTCTGTCTGTGGTGCTGTTTCAGCGGCCAAACCGTAAGAGATAGATAAAGAGAATATTTAAGTTATAAGTTAAGAATAGTCTGATAAGACTACAAACCGGATTTGAGTAACGTAGCACTTCCGGTTTTCGAGAAATCAGGTTTTGGTGAACATTTGGTTCACTGGTTTGCTAGTATTATTATAAACTAGTGACCCGCCCTCGCTTCGCTTCGGTGTAGAGCTGTAGTGTAGATCAAAATGACTTCATATAATTATACAGAAAAAACTGAAAATGGTATATTTGCCTTTTCGAAACTTCTTTTGACATCCGGTCACTCAATTGTTTTGCCTTCCCGGAACCTCTCCACTAACATTTGAAATTTATGGTATGGTATTAAAGTTCAAATTGAATTTCAAGTATTATTACGAATCGTTTGTATGGGAGTATAGAAAAGTGTTGGTTTTGGACTTTTACAGCATTTTTTTTTTAATTTTTCTCTGCGTAAGAACCATCCTCGTACTTCAATGAATATTGTAAAAAAAGAATTATCGAAATCGGTTCAGCTGTTCTCGAGATTAAGCAAATCGAAGAAAAAATAAATATAAGCCATTTTCTGTCGGTGAACAAGATTCGAGGGCACCACGGGGTAGGATGGGGGGATTGGGTCAGGGTGTGGTCGCAAGCGCCTATAGGCTATGGTGGCTGTTTACCATCAGCCGGGCTATAATGCTATGTTTGCCTCCCTCTTAACGTAAATGTTAAATAAAAACATATACGCCTTCCATAACATGTTTAATAGACTGCACCTAATTGCAAAAGCTGAAGGATCAATTTACCACGCACGTTTTTGTAAAACTAGCTGTGCCCCGCGGTGTTACCCGCGGTTTATTGGGGATATTTTCCCGCAGTAAAACTTAGCCTATGTGTTCATCCAGGGTGTCAGCTTACTCCATACCAAATTTTATTAAAATCGTTCCAGCCTTTTAGACGTGAAGAAGAACTAACATACACACTCACAAACTTTCGCCTTTATAATATTAGTGTGATCAGAGTGATATAGTGACACAGCAATTAAAATGCAGGTGAACAATAATATATAATTTCACATTATGTAATGAAAGGTGACTTCATGAATCATCTCTGAAGTCATTTTTTAACTTGACGACACTGTAAATGATAAAACAGGGAGAAAAAAACAGCCCTTGCTGAGTTTCTTGCCGGTTCTTCTCAGTACAAGGTCTCCCGCCGTAGATTTACGAACCGATGGCGTAGCTTCTAGACATTCATATGTGCTTGTAACAGCCTAAACTGAATAAATGATTTTGATTATTATATAAACCTTTATATCCTCCAAAACCTGTTTAAAAGACTTTCCACCTTATTGCATACACATAAAGTACAATTTTCCACGATTCGACATTGTTTCAGCCGTCAGCGGTCGCTAAGCATTTCGTCGCTTTATCTACCAACGGCGAGAAGGTTACCGCCTTCGGAATAGATCCCAAGAATATGTTCGGATTCTGGGACTGGGTCGGAGGAAGGTGAGTTTTTGTTTATTTTATTTTTTTTCTAACACACACCAATAGGGTATTTGACAGTATTAAAAATAAAGTGCCAATTGTTAGCATCTGTGTTTAGAAGGAATATTGGCAGAGGTTTTTCCTATTTTTACAAAAAAAACTATTCATAATTTTACTAAAAACCAACGAAAAAGATAATAGCTTTCTTATCTATTGTCACGTGACCCGAAACGCTTGGGATTGGCGGAGCCTAAAATGACGTCACACGCAAGTAAAGTTCCGGTTAAAGTGACATTACATTGTATCGTTTGACGTTTTAATAACAGTCGTGTGACGTCACACACTAGTAAGACGCCATATTGTCCAGAGAAACGTTTTCGCGGCAACTTGAAAGTGGAGTTTTTGATTTGGTTATTTTTACTGAAATACACAACAGAATGATGAATATCCACTTTTTACGGACTCCGTAAACATAAGTCAATAGCGTGAGCTCGTTTTCTAAAACTTGTCAAATACCCTATTGCAAATGCTTCTATTCGTCATACAAACATTTGCCTCACTGGGATTCGAAATTAAGACCTCAGAGTAAGCGACAACTTGAAAACCGGTGTACTTACCACCCTTACATAGAGGCCGTTATACGTAAACAAGTTTTCTATTAGCATTTACTACTAAAAGTCATAAATTCTATGAGTTTCAAATGCTGATGAGTTTCTTATCAGCTTAATATGTACTGAATGGGTGGTAGAACAGAAATTTGGATTATTTGAAAGAACCTTTTCCAAAAGAAAATATTCAGCAGAGGGAACTCAAACCCGTACCCTTCAATATCCGGGCGAATGCACTGACCATTATGCTACCGCGGCCCTGATGGCCGTGTCGAATTCTCTCTAGCCTTTCTTAAGCTGCAAGGCAGTGCCATGTCCTCGCATTGTAGGTAACCCACAATGTCAAACTAATACCTTTACAAGTATTAAACATTTGAAAGAAGAAATAGCAATCATAGTTAAATTTTAATTTGTAATGCAAATTATAACTTTCTTCTAAGTTTTTTTAAATAAAGGAAAATTTTTAGTACATCTTAATTTGTGGTAATTTGGACTTTTAGGTATTCTCTGTGGTCTGCTATCGGCCTGTCGATCTCCCTGTACGTGGGCTACGATAACTTCGAGAAGCTTCTAGAGGGAGCCAACTTCATGGACCAGCATTACGCAACCGCGCCGTTGGAGAAAAACGTATGCTTGTTTTTACATCTATTAAAAAAAATCTAGAACTATCTGCTTTGATTTATATTGTATTTAAACTGTATGACACAGCAATCAAAATGCAGGTGAACAATAGGGGTGATGACGGGGTACAGTAAACGAAATTCTATTTATTCCGTCAGTTAGATAATCAAAAAATAATGGACATGTATTTTTTCTTTGGGCAATCAACCAGAAAATGACAAAGTTATAGCGCGTCAAAGTTTGGGAGTAGGGGTTCGTGACGTCACTTTTAAGTGAAAATTGTACCAAAACGTGACGTCATGCGACTTTCCAAATCAATATATCTCTGCAATGTTTATATTATGTGAAAAAAGAAAAAAATACGTGTCCAATACTTTTTGATAGTCTACCTTGTAAACGAAGAAAAAAAATTTGTCATCATTCCTATTAATGTATTATTTCACATTATGTAATGAAAGGTGACTTCATGAATCATCTCCGAAGTCATTTTTCAACTTGACGACTCTGTTAATAATGAAACAGGGAATTTTGTCTATGACACTAACTAATATATTTTTTACAGGCCCCCGTCATCCTGGCTCTGCTCGGCGTGTGGTATTCCAACTTCTATGGCGCTGAAACACACGCCCTTCTGCCCTACGATCAGTATTTACACAGGTATTTTATATTTATTAGCGAAGTTGAATATCTTATTTTTAACCGACGACAAAAAACACGGAGGAAGTCGACGCGAATTTAATTTTTTATTTATGACCACGCATTTCTAAGCATGTTTCAACGGTATAGATGCACTGATTTATTTATTTATGACGTTTCGCATTCTTTTCAGGCTGCGTCGTTAGTTCGTCGTTATGACCATAATTCTGATCACGCATTTATTATGATTTTTTTCAATTAAAATCATAATTATAAAGGCGCAGTCTGAAAAGTATGCGAAACGTCATAAATAAATAAATCAGTGCATCTATACCATTGTTACCGAAATTTGTTTTATTTAAAACAATAATATACTAATACTAGCGGACCCGACAGACGTTGTCCTGTCTAGTATGGTAGCGCCGTCTGTCGGATCCAATGTAAAACATTCCAAAATCAACAACTACTAATAAATTAAAAATTAATTAAAAAAACATTGTCCAGCGGACAAAATTGTGAATCTAAACCATTCTCAGATCCCCTTGAACACACACAAAAAATTTCATCAAAATCGGTCCAGTCGTTTAAGAGAAGTTCAGTGACATACACACTCACAGAAGAATTATATATATAAAGATACTATGTAAAAAGCTATGCGTGGTCATACATAAAAAAATATATACGCGTTGACTTGAGAACCTCCTTCGTTATATACCGTTGATATTTATTTATTATTTAATGAGTGGTATGCGTGAAGACCTAAGAAACAATTCTTTTTTATTGAAAGTTGGTACCAAATGAAGTTAGAAACAAAAATCCTACCCTGTGGGTCGAAAAATAGGGGAGGATGTTCACTCACAGATTTTGATGCCGAGTTTTTTTATTACAAACATTATAGCCACAAAAAACAAGGTATAAAGTTCGAAAAATATCAGATTTTAATAATATTTATTTATTAAGACTGAGTGAGAAAAGCCATTAATCAGAATCTAGCTCTTTAATTCCGCTCATCTCTGCACTACCGTCGGAATAGTCATCATCATCACTGCTGCTTTGATGTGGGCAAGACAGATTTCGCGAGGCCCTGTTCTGTGGCGACCTGAAGACGGATTTAATAAAATAATAAAATAAAGTAATTCGGTTTAAAGCAATGCATAAAAAATTTTGAGGCGCGGCCTTAAGCCGCCTCTGAAAACGACAACTTTATTTAAAATAAAAGCAGTCTTTTTACTACCTGTATTTGTAATAAAACTAAAGTCTTATTTCCTTATTTGGTATTAATTCTAAGTTTAGCTCAGTGCAAAAAAAGTGGTCCAAGATTTTTTTTTAACCGTACTATTTAAATAACATTTGACAGATGGAGATCATTGACTTTCCTATTGTTATTTGAATCGCATAGTATATGTTTGTGCCTCAACCTATTTTTTTAATTAATAAACAGACACATTATGAAGTGGAGGTTAAATGGGTATTACACAACACTGGATAGACTATTTGACAAGTTTTTATTCATAAATAGTATAATAGAATTACAAAAAGGGTCCACTTTTTATGGAGCCACTACACACTCATAAATAGCCTATTATGTACACGATTTTATTTGAGGATTAAATTTATAATCTCTATATAAATGTTTACTCCCGGGTCAGTGGTAAAAATTTTGTTTAAAATCTCGTTACCCTCAGGTTCGCCGCATACTTCCAACAAGGCGATATGGAGAGCAACGGCAAATACGTGACGCGGGCCGGGAATCAAACCGACTACCAAACTGGGCCCATCGTGTGGGGCGAGCCGGGGACTAATGGACAACATGCCTTCTACCAGCTCATACACCAGGGGACCAGGTAATACGGTAATCTTGTGGGACCCGGGACCCAAATTGGCACTTCTACCAATTCATACACCAGGGGATCAAATAATATGGGGAGGGGCCGGGGACCCAAATTGGGCTCATCTTCGAGATAGTAAATTTTTGGTCAACCATCCAATGACTAACCACTGCGAAAGTTGCTTATCTTCAACGATCGCAGCCGTACACGCTAACCACTTGCGCCATCGAGCTCCTCAAACAAAAGCTCGACAAAATGGATAGAATTCAAAAACTTGTCAGCTACCCAGGTTACTAATTTATTTATTTGGTTATTGTAGGTTGATTCCTTGCGATTTCATCGCCCCGGCACAGACCCACAACCCCATTGCCGGTGGGATACATCACAAGATCTTACTCGCCAACTTTTTGGCTCAAACCGAGGCGTTGATGAAGGGAAAAACAAGTAGCGAGGTCAGTATTAATAAATCATCATCATCTTCAGCCTATTAATGTCCCCACTGCTGGGGCACAGGCCTTCTCTATGGATGGAATAGGGAGATTGGGCCATGACCCATCACGCGAGCCCAGTGCGGATTGGCGGGTGCTAACGACTGCAGATGCAGCCGGGACCAACGGCTTAACGTGCCTTCCGAAGCACGGAGGAGCTCGAGATAGTAATTTTTGGTCACCCATCCAATGACCGAACGACTGCGAAAGTTGCTTAAGTTCAACGATCGCAGCCGAACGCTCTAACCACTTGCGCCATCGAGCTCCTCTCGAGTATTAATAAATATGAATGTGGTGGTGGTGGAGTATTAATATGAATGAGTTGGTATGAATTGGTGTGAGTGTTGAAACTAAATAAATATTTTCAACACTCACACCAAACGAAACTAATCAGTTTCAACTACACCAATAGTGCATTAGATACAACAGGATATATATTTTGTTATTATAGCCGCATTCGTGGATTATTTATGCCTAAAGGTTGACTGGCAGAGAATGCTTTTAGCGATAAGTCCGTTTTTGTAGTAGGGTATTTGACAGTATTAAAAATAAAGTGCCAGTTGTTAGCATCTGTGTTTAGAATGAATACAGGCATGGGTTTTTTACTATTATTAACAAAAAATATATTCATAATTTTACTAAAAACCCACGAAAAAGATAATAGTTTTCTTATCTATTGTCACGTGACCCAAAACGCTTGGGATTGGCGGAGCCTAAAATGACGTCACACGCAAGCAAACTTCCGGTTAAAGTGACATTACATTGTATCGTTTGACGTTTTAATAACACTCGTGTGACGTCACACACTAGTAAGACGCCATATTGTCCAGAAAAACGTTTTCGCGGCAATTTGAAAATAGAGTTTTTGATTTGGTTATTTTTACTGAAATACACAACAGAATGATGAATATCCACTTTTTACGGACTCCATAAACATTAGTAAATAACGTGAGATCGTTTTCTAAAACTTGTCAAATACCCTATTAAATCAATAAAATATATTTAGTTTATTTATTTTAAACTTTATTGAGAATGATTAATGAGAATTAAGAGAATGGTACAAAAGGCGGAATTAATACTAATAGCATTCTCTCCCAGTCAACCTTTTACCTTTAATAAAAGATATTAAAAATATGTATATACGAATTAACATAGATACATATATAAATACATTCTACGAAAGGAATATTTATACATACACACCGCTATTATATTTAAATATATATATACACATGATGATATTTAATAAATCTTAAATTATGATGCGGATGAGTGCGAACATTCTTTTAAATATAAGCTTTTATATACCATCAGGCTAAAGCTGAGTTAGTCAAGAGTGGAATGTCTTCCGAAGCGGTGGTGAAGATTCTGCCGCATAAAGTTTTCAGGGGTAACCGCCCCACTAACTCCCTGCTCGTACGGAAAATTACGCCCTTCACTCTCGGCGCTCTGATTGGTGAGTATCTTACCTTTTATAGCACTGACCGTCCTTATTATAAACATGTAATTACTTGAAAATTTTACTAGAAAAAATTCCATGCGGACCAGGCAGCAGACGGGACTGTAGATTTTGGCCCGTATTATAGAAAGATTCTCAGTCATTGATCTAGTCTTGAGTATAGTTAGAAAGGGATGTCGCTATATACAGGGTGCTACAAAAATACAAATAAAGCTTGAAGGGCGTTGAAGTAAATCATATAAGGAGTCTTCTCTAATTTTCTTAAAATATTTGCATGAAATTTAACTTTTTATAAAAACAGTTATTTTTATATATTAATAAAAACATCGATCATTTTAAGGCACGTCACTAGTTCGAGGATCATTAAAAATAACTGTTTTTATAAAAAGTTAAAACTTCATGCAAATATTTAAGAAATTTAAATATTTAAATTAGAGACGAAACCTTATATGATGTACTTCAACGCCCTTCAAGCTTTATTTGTTTTTTTGTAACTTATACAGGGGTATAAGATATAGCGACATCCCTTTCTAACTGTACTCAAGGAAAGATCAACACATAGTTGTCATTCTGTAATACGGGCCTTAGACATCTAGCAGTTACATGCTATGAAAATTACAAATATAAACGTAATTATTTGTTGCTTGTTTAAATCTAAAGAAAATGTTACTAGAAAAAAATCCACGCGGACCAGGCAGCAGACGGGACTCGAACCCGCACCCTCCGCTATCCGGGCGGATGCAATGACCGTTATTCTACCGCAGCCCTTATGGCCGTGTCGAATTTTCTCTAGTAGTAGCAAGAAGCTAGGCTGCAAGGCAACGCCATCTCTTCGCATTGTAGGTGACCAAAAATGACAAATTTTCTTTAGATTAAAACATCTAGCAGTTAAATGCTTATAATAAAAATATAATAAACTTACTATATTTGTTTAGGCTTTTCTTTTTATTGGTATATTTTTACCTTCGTTTATTACCCTTCTTCCCATTGGTCAATAATAAAATTACCTTTCCTTTCATTGGTCTCTTTTTACTTTCATTTGTTTTCCGCTCTTCTCATTTTCAAATGTGCCAAACTAGGAGGAGGAGGAGTCGGGTAAAAATACATAGCAAAAGCTGTAGATTGATTTATTTATTCCCACATTTTCCAGCCATGTACGAACACAAGATATTCACCCAAGGCGTTATCTGGGACATCAATTCGTTCGACCAATGGGGCGTGGAGCTCGGCAAACAGCTGGCCAAGGTCATCGAACCCGAGCTCAAGGGCAACGACCCCGTCTCCTCGCACGACGCTTCCACCAACGGGCTCATCAACTTCATCAAGAGCAACTTCTAATGACCTTTTTAATGGTGCGTGGTAGTTTGTTTACGATCGAAACATAAAGAGAATGGACTGAATTTGATAACTTTTCCGTAGAAATAGAGACAAAACTGCTAAAGACAAATTCTCTGGAAAAAACATCTTAAAATCAAGCTTTAAATAAAAATATTCTAATAACTATCAAGATTGGTTCGTCTTTCTCCCTCCCAGTTTTACATTAATGTTGGATAAGGTATACTCAGTCCATTCTTTGTGCACATGTTTACAGTATATTCAGTGTTGCCAGGAATAAATTATGTATTTAACTTCTTCTTTAAAAATATTGAATGTACCTACGTAATTTGTTTAAACGCAAATAGTAAAATCGGTTGAATATTTTTTTTTGAATTATCACAATAAAAAGTTTTAATAAATAAAAAAAATATATCATTGAGCTTTTGAAAGTAATATTTTAATATTATGTATGATGTTATAAAGATTATATTATCAATATTTCTAAAAATCACCAACTAATATAAATAATAGAAATAAATTAATACAAATAAGTCAGATCGAAAATAATATTGTTTCACAAAAGTGACTTATTTGTCGCGAGAAAATAATTTTCTTGTAAGATATTATCTAGATAATAATATATATTTTATCTCCAAAAAAGATATATATTCAGTAAGTGCATAATACAATTTTAACAGAAACGAAATTATTATAATAAAAGAACCTTTGAAATTTATTGCTTTTTTAAAGGAATTTTAAAAATGCATTCACTTTCGATTCTCACCCATTCCAGGCAAATAATGGTATTTTAAAATGCATTTTTAAGTTTTATATTTATGAAAATGTTTCAGTATAATTTTATTTCCGAGATATGTTTGTTTTTGTACTTATTTATATTATTATTACGTTATTAAGTGTCTGAAGTAAATTATTAAACTCTTTATTAATAATTATGATCAATTATTCAACTCTTATTTTTTAATAAAAAAATGATATTATTTAGAAATAGCAAATAGTGTAGTTAAATAATAGTTTTATTCGTGTTGTTATAAATATATAAATCTCTTTTGATCATTATTTCTTATGATAATTTATTTTTAATAATATATGCAGCAATAATAATATACATAATCAAATTTAACGTTATATACAAAATTGAAAACAATAATTTATTGAATATAAAAACTATTAAAGTATAATTTTCATTAGTGTTTTAAATAAATATACGTTTAAAAATATTTTAGGTGAATTGTTAAACATCAAAAATACTTATTGAGATACTTTATTAGCTATCTACAATTGTGACACGAAAATGTTGATCAATTTTGTTTAAATATAAATTCTAGGAACCTGTCTAAACTGTACATTATTATTACAATTTGGATAAATATTTTACATAAATATATTTGTCAAAATTTCCATAATAAATTCCAAATTTTTAATTTAAGTCTGACGGCCGTACTCTGAAATGTAAATTTAAGTTATCGCTTGATGAAGTCAGGTGTTGTCTCATTATATTGTCTTGAAAGTGACAGCGGTAACCACGGAGGGTAGAAAATAGTGTCCCAGAAATATGGACAAAATAAGTGAGGGGCTGCGATCACTAAGTTATCTCAATCAAAGCTTGAGATAACTTAGTGATTTGAAATGACCAATGCTGCGAAGAAAATTTGTACATTATTCAACTAACTTCATCTTCTTGTACTCACAAACAGCTAACTTCACAGATACTACTTAGCGACGGCAGCGCAGCTGGTGGTTGAATAATGAACTATAAATTCTCCATTTTTTCAGGAACAGGCGGACTAATGCTTTAGCACGTAGCGTTCTTTCTCCTTCTCTCTAACCTCCATGGCGTTAACTAAAGTTACACTTAAACAAACTTAAAAGTAAATTGACCTCTCTGAGTACGCCTGTTAGTGTGGGCGTGGGTGATTCAAGCGTAATGCTATTTAAAAAGTCAAATTCAATACAATTTAAGTAAATCGGTATATCAGTCCTTGGGAGTAAAATAATGAGGCAATATTTCTCTTCGTTTTGCTGGCAAGTGACGTCATCATAATAAGCAAACTAATATTATTTACAACCACACTCGGACGTCAATTAACTCTTTTAATTCCATGTCTCATTCTATTATTACCGCAATGAAAGGGACAGCTATAACTTAAAAATTAATTGATGTCCGAGTGCGAATTCCTCAACTTTTCAGTGGAAAATGCAAAAGTATTCATATTTATTGTTTAATATTAGAAAATATATTTTGTTTTATTTATATGGCATTGTGCTGTTGATTAGTTTTGTAGTCGTTAAAACAAATAAGATCTTAGGTCTGCCTGCTTTTTAATGTGTGCAAGTGTTTAAGCATAATGTTTTTTATGGTTATTGTTAGATGTTTCATTGTAATTAGGATTCTTGAAAATAATATATATATTGTTTCACAACTTCACATGTGAATTTGTTTTTTCTTGTCTCTTTCCTGCCCACCTAGCTAACATAAGCACCGCGATTAAGATATATAACGCGCTTTTATCACGCTCAATTGTCAAATTACTATGGAGTTTGACAGACGCGATAAAAAACGTGATATAACGTAAATTGAGGAGCTCATGCTACGGGGACTGAGGGATATTCGCCTAACGGAAATGCTTTGGAAAACGCTAACGCTTTCGATTTTATTTTGTTTTTTCTGACCGCCGGAGGTTTTCAAATACATCACGCTCATTTTTTTGTAATATTGTTATTACCAATGCAATAGTTAAAAAAAGAGCGCGAGGCATTTGAAAACCTCAGGTGGCTAGAAATAACAAAATGAAATCGTAAGCGTTAGCGTTTTCCAAAGCATTTCCGTTAGGCGAATGGCCCCCTGGCAGCGTAGCATGAGCTCCTCAATTTACGTTATATCACGTTTTTTATCGCGTCTGTCGAACTCCATAGTAATTTGACAATTGAGCGTGATAAAAGCGCGTGATATTGACAATGGCCCCATTTCAAGAACATTGGCGAAGGCAATATTTTTATTCCCCTTTAATATTCACCCTTTGAACATAAACACATCCCTAAGAGCCTGCGCTGGGTTAATGGGATGCCCCATTTGTTTCATGTAATTTCATAGAACAGCTGCTGCGTGAGGCGAGTCTCCCGCGCGACGCTGTTCAATGAAATGACATAAAAACGCAAAACGCAACGTTAGACGCGATAAAAAAACGTTATATAGCGTAGCGCAACTACTGGAGCAAAACCATAGACAAATAAAACTTGCGCAGTAGACGTTTTTGTATGTAAGATTGCTACTGCACAGACTTCCTTGTCTTTGGTCGATGCTCAAGAAGTTTGCCCGGCAAACGATAACTGATCTATAGTAAAACAACATGAATTGAAGAAATTGAATGCAAAATAGCAGATATCTACCTAATAACTAATTAAGCTTTAAGTAATGAAAATAGTTTTTCGATGGGCTATGTTGAAAAAATAAAGTTATTTTTTTTTTGTTTAGGAGCTTTTGTCCGATGACATGACAACTCCATCGAAACAAACTAACGAGTACTGAACTAATTAATTAAGAACTAGCAAACCAGTGAACCAAATGTTCACCAAAACCTGATTTAAAAAAAAAAAATTGTGAACTTCGGAGATTTTGTGTGGTTTCGTTTGAAATTCGTGATTTCTCGAAAACCGGAAGTGCTACGTTACTCAAATCCGGTTTGTAGTCTTATCAGACTATTCTTAACTTATAACTTAAATATTCTCTTTATCTATCTCTTACGGTTTGGCCGCTGAAACAGCACCACAGACAGACGGACGGACGGACGGACTTGTCTAATAGATAAGAGATTTTAAAATTATTACATTAGGTTTCGTACTTGTGTAATTTACTGGCAGCATTCCACTAAACTACACAAGTACAATGCGGCTTCTGATTCGGGGTTGCTCAGAACAATCCCTATATCCAACTTATTTATTTGAAATTTTTATATAAACTTGTTTCTTTGAACCTGACTCCGCTCACATTCCATCAAAAGATGATGCACGTACTCAATTTGTTGACATATTTCGCAATTGGGTGTATTAAAAAGAAAGTTATTCACTCAATTTCCAGATCTAAGACGAGTATATATGTCGTAGGATGATTTGATAGCGAAAATTTAGAGATTTTGCGATAACGCCGTTCGTTACATTGCGAAATCGTTGGCTTACAAATATTTTGGGTTCACACTAGATTAGGTTAGTCTTGTGGCCATGACCCCGAGGCGCCAGAAAACAATTTCGTTAACAGTTAGATTGAGCAGTGTCTTCGCCATCGAAATTATATTCGCGTTTTCGCATAATTCCAAGGATTTAAGTGGAAATTCTATTTATCAAATCATCCTACGATATTAATACAATATTTTGGGAGGATCACTTACACGTCATTTGCACTATCCAATTATAAGGGTTTTTTTCCCTTGCCCTTGACTAATGGGGTAACCCGATCTACCCTTTAGATAAGGCCCTTAAAATTGGGTAGTGTAAATCTACTATATAAAAATAAGTCGGGTTTTCCTTCCTGACGCTATAACTCCAGAACGCACGAACCGATTTCCACGGTTTTGCATTCGTTGGAAAGGTCTCGGGCTCCGTGAGGTTTATTGCAAAGAAAAATCAGGAAAAATTAAAAAAAACTTCTTTTAATCACCAAACGAAATGTTACATAAAACGAAGCCATCTGGTGGCGAAACGGAGTTCGCCGGGTTTGCTAGTATAATATAATAATAATTTATTTCCAATTTTTTTTACTTATTGTTTTACAAATAACAGGCACAGGGTGTTGATTGGAGTAAAAAAAGAAATAAAACCTACTACAAAATGAAAAAGCCATTTGAACATTATAATTATTAGAAAATGACAGATAACCAGATCAATCATTCTCGTCGGTCAAAACACTCCGTGCAAACAGATTTACATCCGACGAATCTGAGCAGAATTGCCGATCATCATCAGCCTATTAATGTCCCCACTGCTGTGGCACAGACCTGCCCTATGGATGGAATAGGGAGATTGGGCCATGACCCACCACGCGGTCCAATTTATTGGTGGACGCGGATTGGCGGGTGCTAACGACCGCAGTTATAGCCGGGACCAACGGCTTAACGTTCCTTCCGAAGCACTGAGGAACTCGAGATAGAAGATTTCTGGTCACCCATCCAATGACCTACCACTGCGAAAGTTGCTTAACTTCAACGATCGCAGCCGAACGCGCTAACCACTTGCGCCATTGCTCCTTTCATAATAAGAAACAAATTAATTAAAAGAGATTTTTATTAATCAGATTCGAGTTTTACACAAACATTAAACCAGTTTTACAACATTATTATTATCTTCTGAAATCATTGATGAAAACACACAAATGCACGATAATGTTGTTATGAATATCACAATCAGTTTTTTCAATTCACAAATAATGTATTTACCAATTACAATAAACAACAACGAAAAATATTACATAATTCTACTGAACTCCATTCTCTTGCAATCTTTATACATAACAAATGAAAGTACTGTAGGTATGAATTTTAACATTTTGAATAACATCATCTTCAGCCTATTAATGTCCCCACTGTTGGGGCACAGGCCTTCCCTATGGATGGAAAAGGGAGATTGGGCCAAGACCCACCACGCGGGCCCAGTGCGGATTGGCGGGTGCTAACGACTGCAGATGCAGCCGGGACCAACGGCTTAACGTGCCTTCCGAAGCACGGAGGAACTCGAGATAGAAGATTTCTGGTCACCCATCCAATGACCGATCACTGCGAAAGTTGCCATCAAGCTCCTCCTATTTTGAATAGCAACATCCAAAAAATAGTTCTGAAAATTTTAATAAATGACTATGAAATATACTAATATCTGGCAATTATCATCAGTTTGTTAAAACATCGAAGTGGTACAAAAAAACTAAAGTGCAATTGAAAACCTTTTTAGAAGTCGGTTTATAAAATCATGCCGTTAACTTTCCCAGACCTGCTGAATATTCCGAGTTATTTTCATTAAAAAATAGTTATTTATTAAACAAAAAATAAGTAATAACTATATAATATATAAAATGGCTCTTATTTAAATGATATTCGAGCCATTAAACTATTTTAAGTGTAGAACTGTAGTATTTAATTTTTTGCACAGCCTGACATACGAGCAGACCGAAGAATTACTTCTTATTTGTAAATAAATGAACGTAACTCCGTAATTTACATTTACCAACATTTATATAATGATTACTTTAAGTTCTGTTTTAATTAATTTGTTAATTTATTAATCATTCAATGTATTATTTAGATCACAAAAGCCTGAAATACAGGTACAATTTTAACTGTAACGTTCAGGCATCCATTATTTTGTACTTTATATTGTTATTAGTATTATTATGCAATGTATGACCTTATTTGAATAAAGATATATTTATTATTATTATTATATTCGATTTAGCCTAAAGGCTACCACAATTGCATTTTTTGGGTGATCCTTGAAAAAAATATATATTTAAAATACACCGCTAATATACTTAACTCACACTAAAAGTTACATTGGAATGACGAAAATAAAGTTTCGTTTTAAATATTGACTCTATTGAAGTTTCTCTGAGACAAAAGGCAAACAAACAAACAAGCGTTCCTAAAACTTTTTTATCGAGAGTTAAGATGGCCGGTGTAACTAGACTGTTTACAAAATTTCACAAAGCAACGTAAATGATTTGCTTTATCACTATTCTTCAATTTATTTGTGTTATAATGCGTTCAGTTTGAGAATAGCTTGTGGGTGTATTCCGTTATATATACCAGTATACTGGCCAGTGGTAATGACGTCACGAATCCGACGCCATATTGTACTGGTATGCGCTACCATATTTTTACCGGGAAAACGAATAAAAATAAATAAATAAATATTTCCAACACTCACACCAATTAGCCTAGCCCCAAAGTAAGCACTGTAAGGCTTGTGTTATGGGTTGTTAGGGTAACGGATAGAATACATATACTGTACATATATAAATATATTTATATAGAAATACATGTTAAACATCTATGACTGGAGTACAAACGCTCGTATTCATCACACAAACATCTGCCCCCACCGGGATTCGAACCCGGGACCTCTCGAGTCGGCGACACCATGAAACTCGGCGTACAAACCACTCGGCCACGGAGGTCGTCGTCGGATATGACGTATGACCGAGCGTGCGTGAGATACATTCGAATTTTATTTCTTTTTTATTTAAAGAAAAATAATGGCATCCGAACAAAAAGAATTCCTTTTAATTGATGAGGTGAATAACAAAATCTTCTTTATTCGCACTATTTTTAATATTTCGTCGATTTATGACGTCAGTGCACTGGCCAGTATATTTCGGAACAATTCACCAGTATAGCGTCGATTCATGACGTCATTAGCACTGGCCAGTATACTGGTATATATTACGGAATACACCCTGTATGAAACATACACAAGAATGAATGATTAAGTGACTAGAATGAGTTCAGTTACGTTTTGTGCGTCGCCGGAGTGGCCTCTGTACTACACTTGTTAACTTATATTAAGTTTAAATAGAAAAAAATACAGTTCATCAACAATATCCAATGTGGCTTCATTTATTATAAACCCAGCGACATCGAATGGTCCTTCGAGCCGGATTTTTCGAGATTTAGTATCTTTTTTAAACCTACTCTTTTTTTACTAATGATTTTAAATGCGTATAAATTTCGATCTATTTAAGATATTTTTTTATGATTTGTTTAAAATTTTGTCTCAAGAGGAAGTTTAATAGATTATTATAAACCTAGCGACATTGAATGGTCCTTCGAGCCGGATTTTTCGAGTTTTAGCTTCTTTTTTAAACCTACTTTTTTTACTAATGATTTTAAATGCGTATAAATTTCGATCTATTTAAGATATTTTTTTATGATTTGTTTAAAATTTTGTCTCAAGAGGAAGTTTAATAGATTATTCTCAGGAATAGAGTTTACAGTATTTAAGTACAAACAAAATCTTGCTATTATTTGGTAAATGCTACACAAAAAGCTATACAAGAAGTCTCTTAAGCAGTTTAGTTTAAAGGACATGGCTAAGAAACTGCCCTTAACGTGTATAAATATTTCTCACTAGTCCGTAACTTTACAATATTTTTTATTAATTATATTACGTGTTTATTATTCTCATATAACTTTCATGAAATAATCATATATTAAAAGTATAAAAATTTACTTCATGCCTGTCCCAAAAGTAAAATGTTCCGTTTTACAAAATAAATGAACAATAAAGGTTCACAAAAAAAAATGTGAGTATAACGAAATAAACAATCTTATTTCTAAACTCCTCCTTATACTGAATGTGTAACATAACATCAAACACAAATGTAACATCTTATGTACACCATATTTAATGCAAATAAAGACTTCTGACTCCTTCAAACTATGACATATTTGGCCCTAATTTTTATTATAACAAATCACTAAAGGCCTAAAATAATAGATTTTATTATTCTGATCAGGCTTGAGACAAGACTATGATAATTATACTTTAATTTTTGCAAATGGTGAAAATAAAACTTCACAGATTTCCTGTCAGGTCGACGATAACAAATAGTTGGTATCTATTTTTGCTTTTCAAGTATTACGTAAGCACTATAGGGGGGCAGGGGGGTCTTCCCTTTGCTTATTTTTGATGACATGGGGGGGGGGGGGGGGGTCCAGATAGTCATTACGTCAGCATCATGGATTCGGGTGCCATGGACTGAAGACTGTTAATTGGAATTAATATGTATACCAAAAATTCGAAAGAAGTGTGTTTAGTTCGTTTAATAAGATTATAATATTTGTACCTTTCTCTATGTTGAATACAGCGTCAATAAAGTTTATTTAAATTAATATTATGTGCATTAAAGTGCTCTATCCCAAGCCTATTTAAAGCTCATGAAATAATAAAACAAAACAGAATACATTAAAGGAAAAATGCATATAGGTACCAATGTTCACGTAAGCATGGGGGGGGGGGGGGGCATAAGAGCTTTGCTTACTTTTGCAGACGAGGGGGAGGAGGGGGTAAATAATTGTAATAAATCTGCCTACGTAATACTTGAACGGCCCCTAATCAGAGAAATGGGAAGAAAGATTCTAAGAAAATGTGAAATTGATGACTGTATATAATGAGGGCTATCGCGTATGAATCCGCCGCTAGAGGCGCTAGTGTAGCGTGAGGTCTCCGAAATGTCAAATGTTATTGCTTGTTGGTTGACTACGCGGGTTTATTTCTAATTAAAATAATGTTGTGAATAATTGGTAACAATTCGGCTTAATTATGGCAAATATGAGTTATGTGGCAATGAATGTCAGTTATTAAAAATTTGAGCTTAGAAAAATGATTATGTTCCCATTTTTTCCGAATAAAACGGAACTGCGCGTCACTGTGGCATGGCCTATTATGTTTAGGATATGGTTCTTTTGTGTTAAAATACGATCTAAATGTAACCTTTGATTTCATGTGCGTATTAATAAACTTTAAAAGTTACAATTTAGGACCTCACTCAACAGTGGCGCAATCTGGTGAGGCAGAAAACGGTAGCCCTCATTGGCAACATCTTTAATCAACTGTAGTAAGGTAATGACATAGTGGGAGTTCCCATAATTTTCAAGATTGTGACTTTAACAAAAGTTTCTGAGCTTTTTTTCATACAAATCATAAATATTCAGCCATTTACCATTAAATATTACTAAGTACATATTATAGAGGAGCTCGATGGCGCAAGTGGTTAGCGCGTTCGGCTACGATCGTTGAACTTAAGCAACTTTCGCAGTGGTCGGTCATTGGATGGGTGACCAAAAATTACTATCTCGAGCTCCTCCGTGCTTCGGAAGGCACGTTAAGCCGTTGGTCCCGGCTGCATCTGCAGTCGTTAGCACCCACCAATCCGCACTGGGCCCGCGTGGTGGGTCATGGCCCAATCTCCCCATTCCATCCATAGGGAAGGCCTGTGCCCCAGCAGTGGGGACATTAATAGGCTGATGATGATGATGATGATGACATATTTATACATTGCCAGGGCAGTCGCTCATACAAAACTTTCCTTTAAGAAATGAGGGTGGCTTTACAATATGCATAATGCTTTCGCCTATGAAGGAGATTTATATTGCTTATTTGTACAATTTGTTTCTTTGTGGACAAGGGTACTTAAACTGCTAATAGGCCAATTTAACGGTCCGAGTAAATACTTATATTCTTACTGATTAATTTTATGAATCTATCAAAATATTCGAGAAAACAGATGCGCATGGCACATAATGCTTTTAATTTTAATAAGCCAGTATTTATTATTCTTGCTGATCATGGTTTTTGAGATTTCGTGGGCACAATAGAAATGGTTATATCTTCCACACGTAAAAATATCAATTATTATATTATACACCTTAACAAAAAATACCTGCAAATAACTGAAATTGTTTTCTTTTGAATTTATGGTGGTGGCACCAATTATCGACAAGAATCAATGATCGAGTAACTCGGTCTCTTGCTTTCATTGATCACAAAGGGAAGTGTCGATCATTGCTTGCGTGCGTGCTTCTACCTTATTCTATGCACAATAATTCGAGTAACACTTAATTTTTATTTTATAAAGGTAATAGGGTATATTCCAAATTTTTTAAAATTGCTTATATTTAAAGATTGGGACAAACGATTTAACAGAAAAATAAATTAATTAATGTCTTTTTTTCTCCATTAAACCAATTAGAGTTGAATTTAGTTTTAATGGTTTTGAATTTCCGTTTTGTAATGAAGTTGACGTCACACAGTAGACGTCTTCGAACCTAGTGTTTAGGCGATGAATTCAAAACAATTAAAAATAAACTCAACTCTAATTGGTTTAATGGAGAAAGAAAGACATTAATTAATTAATTTTTATTTTTCTGTTAAACCTTTTGTCCCAATCTTTAAACATATGCAGTTCTCAAAAATTTAGATAATACCGTATTAAAGTTTATCTCACTCCGTGTCAATACCGATATTTTAGTTATTTCGGTTTCCTGCCTCTCCCAGCACCAGATTTGGCCTTTTTGCTGGCGCTCTTCACTTCCTCCGCTTTACGCTTCGGGTTTGGCGTTGTCGAAATCTAATAAAAAAGAAAAAATTATGCACGGACTACACATTAGAATTGAAACTTTTTTTCTTAAATAATTTAAAACATTAGGCAGGTCATAAGGCATAGGGGAATGGAGCAGCGCACGCGTCACATGTATATATATATATATATATATTATATATATGTCGCGTGTGACGCTCGCAGCGTTTCAGCTTACGCAGAGTTACCCTCCAACTTTCATGCTCGTCGGGAAGAGCTGCGGACGCATCCCACACAAACACACACATATATATATATATATGTATATAGTCGTGTGACGCTCGTGACGAATATCCGTTTCATTTTTTCCATAGAATTTTTCCATTTACACCTCGTTCGAAAAGAAGTTCTACATCAATGAGTAAGAAATCTAATTAAAAAAAAACAAATAATACGTTTTATGATTTTATTTATTTTTATTTTTAAGCATTTAACTGCTAGATGTTTAAATCTAAAGAAAAGTTTACTAGAAAAAAATAAATAAAATACGTTTTATGTTTTAAGCCTGAAAAACTTCTGACTGACTAAGGCCTAATATTATACAATGTATCATATTATTACACAATGTGTATGAAGCATGGAGCAACACGCACAGAGTGCTGTGCGTCGATCGTGTTGTTCTACGGTATTTAGTCATATCTAATGGCGCTCTATTCTCTCTGCCCACCCCCATACCCGGGACACGGTCACGGTAATATTATCTATACAGTATTGTGACTCCGCCCTGTCCTTGAAAATAAATGCCTACACCGAACGCTGCGTTGGCACGCGGTAGGGCCGCCAGCCTACAGTATTTTATGTAGTTTTGTTTTTAACGCGAGTGTAGGTAGATTACTCGTTTGTCTCTTTTTTCATCCTAACCACTTATTTATATATTATTCCAGATATTTTGCCCGATGGAAAAACCGAAATACCTAAATATTGGAAACAAATAACGTACTAGTAGATAGGTATATAAAAAATATTCTATAAAGGTAAGAAACCTTTCCAATATTTCAGGTAATTTAAAAAATGATATCTCTGGGTGTGTTATTGAAGAGTTCAAGCAACCAAAAACAGCAATTGTGCTGTTGTACGATATTGATCGTCGTTTGTTCTTTTCCATACTAAATTATGTAGGTATCTACTTAATTAAATCAAATATTTACAATACAAAACGCATGTTTAAGCACGGCTAACTGCATAAAAAACAATTCAGACCGTTCGGTCGTCGTTGCATCGTTGCGTCGCATTCGCGACTGGGTGCACGCCGAGAGCACATCGAACTCGAGTGGCGTAGGTATGACTCGCTTTCCGACCGTTTGTATGAAGATAGAATACTGTATGATATTATTACCGTGACACGGTGGAAAGATAAATAGTTATTAGGATTAATGTATACCTTGAAGAATCCGTCGAGTCGACCTTGAGTGGTCCCGGAGCGTGCCTTCATCAGTTTCTTGGCTCCATTCCTCACTCTGTCCTCGTTGAACTGTTTGTCCCCGCACAGGAATTTAACAAGACCCTCTTCGTCGGGGTCTGTCCATTTTATCTGAATATTAAAGTTGTGATAAGATCTTAGATTAAAACAAAAAGGGAAGATACGACACTCGCGGCTCAAAAGCGATCCGCTTAAATTGTGGTGCATGACCACAATTCGCTTTAGTCACAATTGGACATTCAAACGCGCTACATGTGCGCTCAAAATAATAATATTGCGTATATTCTGTATTACAAAGATAAAACCATGCCTTCGATGCTATTATAAAGAACACATCATCATTATCATCAGCCTATTAATGTCCCCACTGCTGGGGCACAGGCCTTCCCTATGGATGGAATAGGGAGATTGGGCCATGACCCACCACGCGGGCCCAGTGCGGATTGGCGGGTGCTAACGACTGCAGATGCAGCCGGGACCAACGGCTTAACGTGCCTTCCGAAGCACGGAGGAACTCGAGATAGAAGTTTTTGGTCACCCATCCAATGACCGACCACTGCGAAAGTTGCTTAACTTCAACCATCGCAGCCGAACGCGCTAACCACCTGCGCCATCGAGCTCCTCTTAATAACACAAATAGTTCATAATCAAATAACAAATGCCTCGGCAACACTTTTCATTCGTAAAACTGTAAAAACATTTTTTTCTCAAAAATCACGGTTTGTCGTGAATGTTATTAACATAATCGCCAAAAGGATAAAAATACAGCTCAGCCGTGCGGACTCGGACACAGACTCACCGTTTCGCTCGCTCGATTGAATATTTATTTACAACGTGTGCGTGGACTTTTTGGCGAGATCGGAAAGCGTAACTTTAGCAGTTTTGTTTTTCTTGTTAAAAATTGTGTTGTGGCGGATGTTAGTGTCTAATAATGGTGGATTATTAACCACTAAGTGTTCGGGAACATGAACAAGTGTTGGCAAGTGAAACAAAATAGCGGAAGGTGTCTTTCGACGTTCCCTCAAAAAGAACACGGGGAGGTTCCAGTAAATCCCCACACATTTACTGAAACATAGGGAAAGGGGGATTGACTTGAGTGCCTCTTACTTTGACTTGATTGATTGCTTTGACCACGAGTGCTATAGAATTTGTAAACATTTTACACTTGACATTGGCTAAATGCACAAACCGTGCGAAGCCATTTAGAAAAAAAAAGTGTGCGTGTGTGAGAGTTGCTTATGTAGTTGAGTCGGAGCATATTTTATTTGATGCTAGTATGAGCGTACCGTATCTTCCCTTTTTGTTTTAATCTAAGGATTAAGGAAGTGTTCCCGCGCCGAAGTCTTAAACACAGTCCTGCTTGGAGCGTTAGGGTGCGGCCAGAGTGCACTCAGATTCAGATTCAGATTCCGAAAACAAGCGCGAGAAATAAACAGTGTAGTCTAAGCAGGTTGCCTGCTTTTTCTCGCGCTTTGTTTTCTGAGTCTGAATCTGAATCAGGAGTGCACTCTGGCCGTACCCTTCGACTACACTGTTTATTTCTCGCGCTTGTTTTCGGAATCTGAATCTGAATCTGAGTGCACTCTGGCCGCACCCTTAGGCACGTGCAAAGGGAGTGCATTCCAGAGCCGAATGACAGTAAGGGTAAGGGTTTAAAGTTAAGAGTTTGAGACAAACATAGGGTGTATGCTGTAATAAATACCAGTATACTGGCCAGTGCTAATGACGTCATGAATCGATAAAATATTAAAAATAGTGCGAATAAAGAAGATTTTTAATTCACCTCATCAATTAGAAGGAATTCTTTTTGTTCGGATGCCATTATTGTTCTTTAAATAAAAAAAACAAATAAAATTCGAATGCATCTCACACACGCTCGGTCATACGTCATATTCATTTTCCTTGTAAAAATCGTCGCTCTAGGAACAGTCTCCTGACATATAAGTGCCAATCCTTGAGTGCCTAGTATTTGTTAGTGTCTTGATTTTTGAAATTATAACTAATACAGTGGAGCCCCGGTAATCCGGCCCCTGGCTAATACGGCACCCCCTATAATCCGACATCGTCTATTACATACAAGTATTCGCTAATTCACGATTGAACAAGTTACAACTTGTACGCACCATCACTATTTATTATTATTACTTTTATAATAAAACGTAATCTTGCTATTGTGTTGTTTAATTTATTAAATTTGACATACATAACGGAGTATGATTTGTAATCTTAACATTGGATTTGTAATTTGTCGGATTACAAGGTACTCTTTTGTAAAAAAAAAATCGGACTATAGAGTACTGCCTAAGGGTGCGGCCAGAGTGCATTCAGATTCAGATTCCGAAAACAAGCGCGAGAAATAAACAGTGTAGTCGAAGGGTACGGCCAGAGTGCACTCCTGATTCAGATTCAGAAAACAAAGCGCGAGAAAAAGCAGGCAACCTGCTTAGACTACACTGTTTATTTCTCGCGCTTGTTTTCAGAATCTGAATCTGAATCTGAGTGCACTCTGGCCGCACCCTATGACCCCCTAGGTCTTAGGCAGTACTCTATAATCCGACAAATTCGATAGTTCGACACTGCCCTGCAAAATGTTTGTCGGACTACCGGGGATCCACTGTAATAATGAAGTATTAGAAATACTCAAACTCACCTCAATATCCTTCGGGTCAGTGACCTCAGGCTCTAGGAACAGTCTTCTGGCGTTCTTATAGTCCCAATCTTCTGGTGGCGGGTATTTGTTAGTGTCAATATTCTTTAAGATCTCTTCAAGGGAACGATGTTGACGTATTAATTCGATAGCTCTTTTAGGCCCAACGCCACGTATTGAGCCGCAGTAGTCGCAACCCATTAGAATGCATAGGTCTATAAACTGTAAGATATTACTGTTATGATAAATGTGTGGTTCGAGTTATTGAAGTTATACTTCTTTAGGCGCGTTATGAAAAAATTATGAGAGTGAAATTTTAAGATGCGCGCGCATCACTGTAACACAAAATTTTAACAGCATGAAGTTGGTCGCTTTAGCGACCAACTTCATGCTGTTACTTTTGTGTTTACCGCACATTAAGAAAATCTACCAACAAAATAGAAATAGAATCTCTATTTAGTGGGTGCTAACGACTGCATTGTGAAGGCCTATCAAAAGTATTTATTAATCTGGAACAACGGAACCAAAGCGCGATTCAGGAGACTACAGCGCCATCTCTTGACCATTGGTGTAGTAGAACCAAAAACCACATCTTTATTTTTTGTAATAAAGTAACAGTTATAGGTATTCATATTTATAATATTTATCCACATGTTTCTAGTTTGTATATTCGGAATACGTGTTTGAGTTTCATACAAGTGCAAATCACATATGTTCTAATAAATTATATTCAGTAGCGATTTTAATTGAATATTTTGATTATTTATTTATTTTTTCAAATTAAAACTGAACTTTATTGACTGTGTCCTTTTCCAACTTTTTATTAATTTATTGAAATTAAAAACTAATTTTAAACGATGCCAAAGAAGGATAACTTCTCACGCGCCTACTTATGTACACGCACCCATTTTTTTATCATTATTAATTTGCAGTTTCTGAGAACATTTACCATAGTAGTGTATATTGTTTTTTTACCATCAAAGAGTAGAGATTTCAACAAACAAAAAACACACCACCTTTTTTAAAAAAGCAGATATTTTGACGTGAGAATTTTCGATTGAAAATAAGGGTGCTTTTTCGATATTAAGTCAAAATAAGGTGAAAAAATTAATATTTTAAATAAAAAAAAATGCTGTATGTTTGGGACATGTATACAAAGGTAAGTGTTCACTAAATTTCGTTAAAAAAATTTTTTTTTTGCATAAAATAAAAATAAAAATCCAAAAATTCGGTTATTCGAATTTTTCACATAAATTTTGAGGTTATGTGAAAAAAGTGTCGATACAAAAGTTGTTTTTTTTTTCATAGGACTTTCAGTTTTCCCAGAAATCGAGATTAACCGGTTTTTACCCTTAAACACTCACCCCCTCCCCCTTCCCGACCTCAGATCGCCCGTAATTTATTTTTCCTTTAACTTTTGTTATATTCTCTACCTTTTCCAATGGGTTTCATCCTACTATAATTTTTTTTCACTTTTCATCATTTTTAAAATTATCGACCCTGGTCTATTAGACACACTTGACTTGGTGGGTAAACTGGCGAATGCGTTACGAGTTACGCGTTACGAAAAGTGTCACCGGTCCCACACACATATATATACAGATAGTGCAATCCACGAAGATGCGCCCCATTAATTTTTGGGTGAAGGATAATTAGTGATAAAAAGATAATTATCAAATTATTATTTATTATTATCATAGATACTTAATTAGTGTGTACGGATAATATAACACTCAACTATTGGCGGAAGTTGGCACACATTTACTATAAATGGTTAGGAGGAATAGTGGGGCGCGTCTGTGTGGATTACAATATCTGTATATACGAGTACATACAGACGGAGCTAAAGAAGTTTCACTTCGGTCATGTTTCACATCACACAAAAATCTGCCCCCACCGGTATTCGAACCTCTCGAGTCAGCGACACCATGAAACCCGGCGAACAAACCACTCGGCTTTAAAACTCGGCCACGCGACTTTAAGGCTAGGCTAACTGGTGCAACTGTAAAAATGAAATCCTAAAGTTCTTCCTATGTAATTTTTATCTAGCACACCTGCTTAAACAAAAGAGAAAAGCTCATGTTTGTGACAAAAATATTCTTTCTTATGCCATAAGCGAAACGTAGAATAATGGCGCGATTACACCTGGTCGTTAGCCCGAATATTAGTGCCAATGGAATTCGAGTAAATGACTAAGGCCCGTATTATAGAGAGATTTTCAGTGATTGATCTAGTTTTGAGCATAGTTAGAAAGGGATGTCGCTATATATAACACATAGCGGCATCCCTTTCTAACTGTACTCAAGTACTCATTTAGGCTCGTATTACAGAATGACAACTAAGTGTTGATCTAGTCTTGAGTATAGTTAGAAAGGGATGTCGCTATATATAGCACATAGCGGCATCCCTTTCTAACTGTACTCAAGTACTCATTTAGGCTCGTATAACAGTGTTACCAACCCTTACCAAAATTTTCCCCTAAGTATTTTTTAAATTCCCCTAAAATCCCCTAAATATAGAATTTTATATGTATCTACTTATTACCTAAATTCTTTCGTTGCTCCTTAATTAAAACGTTACTTATTTAGTTACAGAAAATTATTTTATTGTATAAATACAGTTTCCCAAAGGACAATCAAACGAAAATGAGCTGACAGGTTTTTAAATCTAATTTAGCTGTTTTTTAACTTTAGTCCATACAGCCTTAGGAAACAACCCGCCACATAGTCACTTCAGTTATTTCATATCGTGGTGCATTCCATTCTACGCACAAAACTGAAAGAAAACACATGCTTTCTTTTTCGATTTAATTGAAAGTTTTGATAAAAGGCCCCTAAAAGATCCCCCAAAAAATTCCAGCCCCTAAAAAAGTCCGCTTTAACACTTCTAGCCCCTAAATCTGGGGGCAAAACCCCTAAGTTGGGAACCGTGTCGTATAACAGAATGAAAACTAAGTGTTGATCTAGTTTTGAGCATAGTTAGAAAGGGATGTCGCTATATATAACACATAGCGGCATCCCTTTCTAACTGTACTCAAGTACTCATTTAGGCTCGTATTACAGAATGACAACTAAGTGTTGATCTAGTCTTGAGTATAGTTAGAAAGGGATGTCGCTATATATAGCACATAGCGGCATCCCTTTCTAACTGTACTCAAGTTAAGATCAATACTTAGTTGTCATTCTGTAATACGAGCCTAAATGTAAATGAACGGAGTCGAGTACACCCGGGTCGAGTATTCGGGTGGTTTTCGGTTTGGTTACCCGTCACCGTCTTCCAGTGTAAATACTGCTTCAGGTGCCCGAATTCGAGTAATGTCTTTCGTGCACCCGAATAACTGACTAACGACTAAATGTAATTGAGCCATAAGAGCAACCAGAATATGACATATTGAAATTTTAATACAAGTATAAAACACGAGGCGAAATGTAAATTAGTAACAACATGAATAGAACTGAAACATTCGTAGCGTCAGCGTTTACCTAGTTTGTATTTAGAAAATGCTGAGCTTAATATTACAGCTGACGCACATCAATATTAGTTAAGAAAAACTAGTATATAAGATGCAAAACGGAATAAACGATGCACTTAGTTATCAAGCGACACACTTGCTATTTGAATCCTCATCTCCCATCACTAGGAGCCAAACATTAATACTCATAAAAAACACACTCACCTCTTGCTGTTGCAATCCAAGCCCATTAAGTACATTGTCCAAGTGGAACTCCTGCACGGGCATCTTCCTGGCCTCGGAGAAGGTCAAGTGCCTCAGAAGTACGGATGCACCGAAAGTCAACGCGTCCATATCTTCTGTAGCTGTGGCAAACACTTTACCAGCTTTCACCTAGCACATAAACAGTAAAAAAATGAAGAAAATGAAATGAAAAGTCATTTATTCAGTCTAAGCTGTTACAAACACTTGTGAAGGTTACGCCATCGGTTCGCAAAACTACGGCGGGAGACCTTGTACTGAGAATAACCGGCAAGAAACTCAGCAAGGGCTGTTTTTTTGTCCCATATTGTTATATACAGAGTCGTCAAGTTGAAAAAAGCTTCTTATGTCTTATTCACACTCCTAATATTTATCAAAGTTGTAATATAAGTGCTAAATTATGCTACATATATATATTTAGGAGCGAAGCCTTGAGACTAGGAAGTCCCCTGGCGTGCTTATGCCTTAAAGCTGTTCTTTTCTTTATTAAGCTGCAAACTCTCTCTACTATCGTTGAGGCAGAAGTCAGAATGCTGGTATTTGCAAGTGTCTTGATTTATTAACGGCTATATTATTATGACATATTCTAACACCCTTTAATTAAGGGCTGTCATCTTAGGGTACGGCCAGAGTGCACTCAGATTCAGACTCAGATTCAGATTTCGAAAACAAGCGCGAGAAATAAACAGTGTAGTCTAAGCAAGTTGCCGGCTTTTTCTCGCGCTTTGTTTTCTGAGTCTGAATCTGAATCTGAATCAGGAGTGCACTCTGGCCGTACCCTTCGACTACACTGTTTATTTCTCGCGCTTGTTTTCGAAATCTGAATCTGAATCTGAGTGCACTCTGGCCGCACCCTTAGGCTTTGAGTACAGTCCCCTGGCATTTTTACTTCTACAAGTTGGTACATTCCAGTGTTTACTTTTTCAATTATGGCTTTATAACATTATTAAAACATTATTTATTGATCATTAGCCTAGTAACATCCCCCACTGCTGGGGCATAGGCCTTACCTATGAATGGAACAGGAAGAATATTTATTGATATTTGTTATAATACTTACCAATGCAGCACATTGTGCTTCTGCCTCACAGGGTGCCTCCACTACGGGAATGCCCATCAGCTTGAGAAGCTCTCGGGCTTCTTCACCGTGCTGTTTAGTCACCTTCACAAGACGTCTGTTAAACTTCTCGATTTGAGCCTGGTCACCTGGTGGACAAGTGGTTTGAAGGTCATATAACACTAAATTGAAATACAAGTAAACCAAACTTTGAAATATAATTAGTTTTTAAAACAGGAACATGAGATTTGATGACTTATTGCTTTATCGCATCATCTCCAAATATGATTTGCCTGCTCACTTGTTCAACAATTCAATCCTCTAAATGAAGAGTAAAGAAGCAACTTGCAGCGCAAGGTGAGGATGGCTGGTGCATTGCATCTGGATTCCACCAAAACTTAACATCCGATGGGGAGATTTGAACTTGTAATGTAGCTATACATGGGCACTAGGTATTTTTACACTGAGTTTTACAACAAAAGTTATCATTATCTTCTATATTATTTAGTTGGCTTCTTCCTCCTTCTACTGTATATGATGAAATACAACCTTTTAAAACCCATGATCAAAGACAATCTTTTAAAAACTTCCCCATATGTGGCTATGGAAGTGAGCATTATTTAGCCACAGAACACCTACTGCTGAGCATAGGTCTTCCTCAAAGATCTACACCATGGTAGAGAGAGAGTACTTACTGGAGTAGCAGGTAGAGAAACAGGATGAAAATAATGATAATAGATATTAAATAATGTTAAACACCTGATTCTGTGGCTTTTTGTAACTCCTTCTCCGCCTCCTCTCTTCTCTCAGCTCTCTTGTTCAACTGATGGGACTTCAGTTCTGGTGGTTTTCCGTCAAACACGTACACTGGTTTTATACCGTTTTCAACCAATCGTATTGTACGGTAGAATGTACCCATAAGGTGCGACGTTGTCTCACCGTCCACAGAAGTAAGTTGCGCGCCTGAAATCAAACAATTCTTACCAGTTGCCACATTATCATTTTTGAGTTTGAATAAAGATACTATTTTTAGTTATTAATTAATGGCTTTTTATACAGTTACTTCTTTACAAAATGTATGGACATAGGTAACAGCCAATCAAATTAGTGAGTTACAATATCTAGAAAAATAACTTGGCGCAATTGTTGTCCTCCAGGTAACCATTACAATGAACTGAATGTAAGTACTTATATTAACTTACCTTCACTTCTAACGGCGATAAGGAATTGATATAAGCTCATAGAAGCGTCAATTGCTATTTTTCGCCCTGTAATTTAAGAGAAAAATATGAATTATTTCCAAAAGTGAAGGATCGTGTAGTTTTACAATAAGCATGCAACGATACATACCAAAATAGTTTTTAATTTCCATTTCTTTGATAGCTTGAGGAGCTATGTCCGCTATGAGTTTTGATAAACCTAAAATACCCATGATGAATGAGTATTAAATACTTATTTGGTTGGTTTGAGTGAGTTTTAGCTTTTTTCGGCGAAAGCTCGCGCGCAAAATGCGAATTTGACATTGACAGCAAATAACGGCTTATTTTTTTTTTGGATACGTTCTCCCTTTTCAGGGAAGGCATGGGGAACAATGCCCATACAGCCTAGTCTTAAGTTAAATTATTCTGTTTTTCTTTTTATATTAGAATGTGGGTGTGACGCATTCTAATGTTTCTTGGAGTGTTGGTACGAAATATATCGAGTTGGCTTTATTGATAACCTTCTGTGAGGTAGTCAATACTACAATAAAATTCTCACGTCCATTTGACCGGAATAGCGTATATTTTAAAGATTCCACTATTTCTTCAGTTGCGCAGACTGTTGTAACACAAAATCACACCAATTTTTTTTCACAATATCCACTATGAACAAATTTAAGTATAATTAAAATAATACGCCAAACGCACTCGATGAAATCCCGCCAAAAACTCATTTTTTTTAATTAATTTATTGGCAATGATGTAAAGGGAAATTAACGGCTGCGGCTCAGTGTTGCCAGGAGTTCGGTATTCTACTATCCGTTGTGTTCGGTTGTAACAGTGGTAAAAATGGCCTCCAAAGTAGACCTCTTACTGGCCCCGTTTTATACGATAAGAACTGTACCCCTAGCACGAACCATTATCGATTTCGAATAGTTTGTGAGTGCGAAATGACAATGTCAAATTTATGTATAAAAAATTGAACAGCAGCGCCACAAAGTACGTAACGAGAACTAAAAATTAGTACACATTTGACAATGACATTTCGCACTCCCAAACTATTCGAATTCGATATTGGATCGTGTTAAGGGTACTATTGGTACAATAGAAAGCTTTTCTATTATTAAAATAAAGTAAGGTAAGTCTCAGAGATGCAATCAAGTTCTACATGGGATAAAGATCCATTCGTTCCGTACTTTTATATAGAAATGAGTAAAAAAACAGTTATTTAATATTATTTGACCCATTCTTTTCAAATATACCATCAGCTAAACAGAAAACGAAACGTACCTATTTTGTGACAACGACAACGATCAGCTGATTTATTTTACAAGTTGTCACTGGTAGTTATTGTCAAAATTGAATAAAAGTAGGTACCATAGCGAAGCGCTTTATTCCAATGACGTAGGAACCATAATCGTATACAATAATAAAATCAGCATCAAAGTGGAAGACAAGACATTTGGCGTTGGGTTGGCGGAGCAGAAACTCAAACAAGCCATCAATATTAATTAAAGGAACAAGAAGATTTTAACTATTTTTGTGATATAATTTGTGTGTGAGAATACGTAATAAATAAGAAAAATGGGGAATTATTTCACCGTCAACATGGAAGAGAATTTCAAGAAAAATCAAGAATTTATACAAACTATAAACACAATAAAAGTATGTTTTTTATTAATTTACTATTGAAATTTTACTGTTGTTTATCAATTGGTATTTGGCTTTTACCTATTTTTATCGGAAGTTTTGACGAATTGTCTATAGCTGTTTGATATTGGATTAAAAATAATTAATTTTTGATGTTATTTGATCACAAGACATTTTTGAATTCTTTCCTTTTCATATGTCTACAGCAATCGCTTTATATACATATTATTAATTCAGCTAAAGCATTACAATTTGAATGGTGATGGCATATTCCAAAATATTTTAATATTTTTATTTTTCACCAATATTTTTCATGATGTAGTCAAACATTGTTTTATCAAATATGGTAATCATAATACTACTATGACTATTGGCCATGTGTAACTTACAGTAGATGTAACTTTTTCACTTTTTTGACATATGAAACCCCAGGCTGTAATACGGATTATGACTATTTTTTTTTCTTTGTTTATCAGGTAGATTATCAAAAAGTATTGGACACATATTTTTTCTTTTTTCACATAATATAAACATTGCAGAGATATATTGATTTGAAAAGTCGCACGACGTCACGTTTTGGTACACTTTTAAGTGAAAATTCACTAAAAAATGACGTCACGAGCCCCCACTCCCAAACTTTGACGCGCTATAACTTTGTCATTTTTTGGTTGATTGCCGAAAGAAAAAATATGTGTCCATTATTTTTTGATCATCTAACTGATGGACTAAATAGAATTTCGTTTACTGTACCCCGTCATCACCCCTATTATTTTGAACCAACCACAGTCCAGCAAAGTACTGACCTGAATTGTATTATAAAAGCAGACTAAGAAATCATAGTTTAAGCTAGCCATTTAGCTTAACTTTTATAGTTTAACCTATTTTTACAGATGGAGAGACAAATACAGTTGCAATATCAGATGCAGGAACGGCAAATGGCTATGCAAATAGCCAAAAGCAGGGACACATGCTTGTGGCTCACAGCATTCTATGTTGCATCATCAACAGCTTTATTTACTGGGTAAAAATGTTTTACAGTCATGTTATGCATACCCTTTGATACATGGTTATTTGGTCACTGCTCTTTGCCACACAATAGTAGCAACAAGCAAGTAAGGTTGGACCAACATTCTTATAGTCGAGGAGCTGGCGAACAAAATGGTATATCATCTGGTCAAACTACTTTTTTCTCTAGGTCTATAGGTTTCGGGCCTGTTAAATTTGAATCTTAAATAAATTTCAATCAAAACCACCTAAAACAGTGTTAAAATTACTGTTACACTGTTATCTTAGGTAAAATATATGCGCTGAGTTCAATTGGAGCGTAGAAGAATGTAATAAATAAAATCCAAACTAAATGGTAAAATTTGCTTGTATTGCTTTCAATGTACAAATTGACAAGAAGGAAAACAAAGGAAGAAAGGAAAAAATATGCATCATAATATTCATAGAGTGAAACTTATTAAACTTAAAACTTATTTGTTTGGTGTTACCAACAATTACTAAATTTATAAATTAAAAACTATGCCAAAACCTCACTGTAGGTATGTCATTCAGTTTTATACAGCTCCTGTAAAATTTAATTTTATGTAATTATACTGTTTTATTCGCCAGCTCCTCAGTTTATATCCTTTATACAAACTGAAGTTAATCGGTTCAATTTAACGGTGTTAAGCAGAAAGCTCCCAGTCGGCATTTTTGAAGTTAATAAAAATGAGTTAAAGTATGATTGTGAAAGCAAAAAGCGACTTTTGGTCATATTTGGGATCAAGCAGAATCAAACTTTAAGGCAGGTTCTTATAATTTTTGCTTGCTTTAAAAATGCCCACTGGTTGCTCTCTGCTTAACAAAGCTTAATTTAAGGTGGCACAGGGCAGTAAAATGCCTTTTGCCTATAAAAGTTTATTATATTATATTTTAGAATAGTATTCTTAAAGTGTTTTGTTTGTAGGTATACATCGACACCAGCGTGAGTGTTTTATTGTGATTTGTTTTTGTTTTGTATTGATTTTTCTAATCTTGTATCTAACGTCTTTTTACATATAATTTCTTTTTTAAAATAATGTGCAGGACACATTATATTTTAATCGAAACGGAATTAATTTCATTAAACACTTATCATTTAACGACTTGAACGAAGTGAAAAAATAAACTTGGTTAACAAAGTGAATGAAATATAAGATTTTGATCTTCATAGTGTAGCCTGCTCTTCATATTTACTTATGCTAACACTGAACAGTTTCAGGAGAACAAAGAGAGCGTACTTTCTTGTGCCGATGGTGCCGCTTACGTTTGTCACACTTTATTACTGGGACCTTGCTTACGGAAACAAGGTCCACAGAATAAGAAGTGAGTAGCTACTCTTAGGGCATTTGCACACCAGGCTTTTTTTATTTAAGTAATAATAACACACGCGCGTTTATTATGAGCTAGTCCTCTGTGCGTTAACAAAGCTTTAATACTCACATAGGACAATGAAAAAGGCATCAAACGCGCATTTGTATCGATTCCGAACTTGGGCAAAGGAAACTCTCTTCAAGAGCACCTTTGTATCCATAAAAACTCAAATAAAGCATATAACTGCTCAATCTTTAAATGTAAAGAAAATATTCGGGACAGACGGGACCCGAACCCGCACCCTTCGCTATCCGGGCGAATGCACTGACCATTGTGCTACCGCGGCCCTGATGGCCGTGTCAAATACTTTCTAGCTTTTCTTAAGCTGCAAGACAGCGCCATCTCTACGCATTGTTGATAACCCACAATATCAATGGATCAATGGTTACTGTGGTTGTAAAGTTTGTAATATTTGCACAGAGCGCCTAGTGGTGTTTCATATTTTCTAAATGGCAATACGACTTCCTTTATGTTTGAATCGATACAGTCGCGTGTTTTCTAATGGCGTTTCTGTCGATGTATTTGCGCGTTTGCAACTGGATACAAACGTAAAGATAGTAGGTACTAGCGTTTGCTGAGCGTTCGAAAGGCGTGGTGTGCAAAGGCTCTTAATAAGTATGATTGAAAAAAAAGATGATCTAGGTACTATACAGTTTTATCCCCCTGACCAAAATATATTTTATTATTTAGAGTTCTTTAGTTAAGTTGAAGCCTTTTGTTAACACAGCCGTTTACTAACAGCCTCAATTTGTACTTATTTCGCTTGACATCTAAAAAATAATAGGGGTTTTCCTACAACTCCGCCTGTAGTTGTTGATTGTAAAATAAAAATGTAGTTTTCATCTTTTGACATCTGACGATCCAAATTAATCATCAGCCAAGTATGATGTCATGTCACGCAACTTTGATAGAACTACTAATATAATTGATGTTGGCTGAATGCCATTTTATCTAAGGTATTGAGGAAAATGGCTTACGTAGGAGTCTATGCCAGCTAGATTTGAGAGAAATGAGGAAAATTGATAACATTTTCCTCATTTATAAATAAAAACGAAATTTTCTTTGTTATATCAGCAACAAGATCAATAATTCAATTATATCGTAGGAGTTTGATAAGTTTTGAACTTTGAGGGATCGTATGCGTATCGCCATCGCCAAGTTACGTCTGGTAGGGGCGCTGCATTTTTTTTCTTTTAGAAACGACGATGGCTATACGAATACGATTCCTCAAAGTACGTGCGTACGTGGGGTACAGATAATTCTTTACAAAATAAGTTTTTTTTAAATTTTCTTAAAATTTTTTCTTTATTAATTAATTTGAAAGCATGCTGTGCTAATGTTTTCTACAAAACTTTACGAAGCAAAAAAGTAACATGTTTTTATCTTTAAAACTTTTTTTTGAAATGGAGTTTGTAAATATTGTTCAAATTTTTTCGCGTTTGTGATCTCTGTATTTTGACATCTTTTATATAATAAACATCGGTTGATGTTTCCAATTCTACATTTACCTGTTATGACGTCTTTTCTTTTATTGGCAAATATATTATCCAGGTTTGTGCCATGACCTTGTAAATATATAAAAAAGTGCCGGTTTAAGAAAGTTTTCGGTTTAATTTTAAGAGTTTACAATTGATATTAACATGATGAATTTTAAAGAAAATATAACTAGAAAAAAAAATCCACGCCGACCAGGCAGCAGACGGGACTCGAACCCGCACCCTTCGCAATCCGCAATGGGTTACCTATAATGCGAAGAGATTCCTTGAAGCTTAAGAATGGCTAGAAGAATTTCGACGCGGTCCGTGAGGGCCGGATTGCGAAGGGTGCGGGTTCGAGTCCCGTCTGCTGCCTGGTCCGCGTGGACCTCTTCTAGTTATATTTTCTTTAGATTTAAACATCAAGCAGTTAAATGCTTTAAAATAATAGAAATTATAACTATGATGACTTTAATCTATACGCTTGCAAAAGAAGTTGTGTAAGTAATATGAAATGCCAAAGAATAGCGCGCTTTGCGGCAAAAGAACGCGAGAAATGTTAATACAAAAAATGCGTTTATTCTCTTATAGCCTAAGCTAAGACTATGGAAAAAAATGTTAAAGAAATTGAATTACAGAGTTCATGGTACGAACTCATCTGCCTGTTAATTAACTTCTATATTATTCTTTTTATGTAATGTAACACGTTTTACCCATACAGTCGAGGTTACGAAAGTGGACACAATCATACACTTGCATCGCGAATATAGCTCTTATTTGCTACTAAATAAAGGCACTATTAATGCTGAATTGTGTGCACCTACGTAGTCTTGATGATATGATGGTCAATAATATGTGATAACTTTAGGACTTTGTCACAAGTCAATATAACGAAACAGTTTATCTTGTTAAGCAAAGGAGATGTTTAAATATTTCAATATGTCAGAGTACACACAGCGGTTATTTGGGACGCTGACTAACTTTTTTATTCGCCTAAAAAAGTATTGGACATGTATTTTTTAGTTTTTCGCATAATCAGAGCATTCATCTGAAATGTCGCATGACGTCACGTCTTGGTACAATTTTTACTTAGAAGTGACGTCACGAGCTCCCTCTCAAACTTCGACGCGTTTTATCTTTGTCATTTTTTGTCAATCATTCATTTGAAATGTCGCATGACGTCACGTCTTGGTACAATTTTAACTGAGAGTGACGTCACGAGCCCCCTCTCAAACTTTGACGCACTTTTTTTCTGTCATTTTTTGTCAATCATTAATTTGAAATGTCACATTACGTCACATCTTGGTATAATTTTAACTGAGAGTGACGTCACGAGCCCCCTCTCAAGCTTTGACGCGCTTTATCTTTGTCATTTTTTGTCAATCATTCATTTGAAATGTCGCATGACGTCACATCTTGGTACAATCTTAACTAAGAGTGACGTCACGAGTCCCCTCTCAAACTTTGACGCGTTTAATCTTTGTCATTTTTTGGTTGATTGATAAATGAAAAAAATAGTGTGCACGGACCACACATCTGAAGTGAAACTTCTTTTCATAAATAACCTCAGGCGGTGCATAAGGCATAGGGAAATGAAGCACCGCACGCATCAATCACACATATGTATATTGTCACGTGTGACGCTCGTGGCGCTTGTAGCGTTTCAGCCTTCACCGAGTTACCCTCCAACTTCATCATCATCAGCCTATTAATATCCCCACTGCTGCGGCACAGGCCTTCCCTATGGATGGAATAGGGAGGTTGGGCCATGACCCACCACGCGGGCCCAGTGCGGATTGGGGGGTGCTAACGACTGCAGATGCAGCCGGCACCAACGGCTTAACGTGCCTTCCGAAGCACGGAGGAACTCGAGATAGTAAATTTTTGGTCACCCATCCAATGACCGACCACTGCGAAAGTTGCTTAACTTCAACGATCGCAGCTGATCGCGCTTACCACTTGCACCATCGAGCTCCTCTATGCTCCTCTATCCAACTTCATGTTGTCGGGAATAGCTGCGCACGCATCCCACACACACACACGTCTATATATATAGGGACGTGTAATGCATTTCCGTTTCATCTTTTCAATTGACACCCCATCCGAAAATAAGTATCACTTAAAAAATAAATGTCCATTAATTTTTGCTAATCTAACTGTAGGACTAACTAGAATTTCGAAATTAAATTCATTACCCCGTTATAATCCCTATTCTACAAATTATAATTTTTTAACAATTTTGATTGTCATCTACTATATAAAAATAAGTCGGGTTTTCCTTCCTGACGCTATAACTCCAGAACGCACGAACCGATTTCCACGGTTTTGCATTCGTTGGAAAGGTCTCGGGCTCCGTGAGGTTTATAGCAAAGAAAGTTCAGGAGAAATTAAAAAAAAAATCTTCTTTTAATCACCAAATGAAATGTTACATAAAACGAAGCCATCTGGTGGCGAAACGGAGTTCGCCGGGTTTGCTAGTCTAAGTTTAAAATCTATTGCAGAACTCTGTCATTTTGTCTGTCGTCCAATCAAAGTCTTCACGTATTCTTGACCTCAATCTAGCACAAATCTTTATATATATAATTCTTCTGTGAGTGTGTATGTCACTGAACTTCTCTTAAACGACTGGACCGATTTTGATGAATTTTTTTGTGTGTGTTTAAGGGGATCTGAGAATGGTTTAGATTCACAATTTTGTCCGCTGGACAACCCCTATTTTTTTAGGGCGGTACGAAGTTCGCTGGGTCAGCTAGTACTCTTATATAATAAGCATACTGTAACTTAACTTTTGTCCAGTGGAAGCCGAGCATGTAATGCTCCACGAGGCCAGCATGCTGGAGTGGCCTTGCGGTCTCCCGTCGCCTTCTTCCATCGACCTCGGCCGCGAAGAAGATGAAGAGAAGAAAAAGATCCACCCACCACTCATTTAAGTGCTCAACCAACGTCATTGAGTCCTGCAACTGTGCCTTCACAGCGTAACTAGGTACCACAGTTTATCGAATCACTGTTTTCAGAATGTTTGTTTTGCGGGAATAATACCTATTAAGTGTCGCCGCACACGGGCCATACGCCACAGCCACAAACGCCGCCATGAGAAGCTAGAAGCGGCTACTAAAGTGGCTGAAGCGCGCGACAGCGGCCGACTAAGGTAAGGGAGAGAGGGGTGGGGAATCGCGCGAGTGACGTGTGGCGGCGTTTCGTATCGGCGCATTAAGTGGCCGGTGCGGGCCACAAGAAGCGAGCAACGACGATTTGTAGCGTGTGGCGGCCACCGGCGTACTGTGTGGCGAGTAAATATAAAATGTATGAAAACTACAAGAAATATGCCGGCGGCGGCGTTTTGTGGTTGTGGTCGGTGGCCCGTGTGCGGCGACACTAAGATGGGAGGCGGGCAATGTTTTCTCCATACAAACTCTCTCGACTGTCCTTCTTGATTTTTATCACTAAAGAAATGATTTTCATACATGAAATATAATTTTACTCAT